ACACCATTCAAAACAAAAACACCAATCCCAGCATCGTTTTTTTACTCGCCAAGCTCCTCGTCTTGATCGGAAACCAAGTATAATAGGTAATTAGAGTTAAATTTCTGCCTACTCTAATATCCTTAATCAATTGAGCTGTAAATGAAAATGCCAAATTGAATATTAGTTTCAATTATGATGAATTGCTCATGAAAACACTCACAAATGACTTGCATGCATAATAGCGTCATTATTCAACTCAACTCAGTCAATTGTCCCATTTTTATTAGATTAACAAAGGGAAGACATTTTGATTGATTAATCTGTTTTCAATTTTAATCGTCTCTTAATTCATCTTTAATTTTTTTACTGGTTAAATCAATTCTAATAAAATAATGGAAGAAGTTTGTCATTGAATTAGAAACCTTATTGACTTTTATTGATTTTTATTTTGCCCATCAAAAACTGTTTTCAGTATACTTTTCCCTTTATATTATATTGTAAAGTGTAAGTAAAACTAAATTGATTACTTGATTAAAGGTGAAACACACAAAGGCAAGTGAAGGTGAAAAACTTGCCTACCAAAAATTGAATTGGTTTCATTGATGAATTTGAGATTAAATTGTCGATGGCGAGACTTTTGATTGACTTGAAAAATTAAATAAAATGGACAATTCGTTGAAAGTATTATTGAACTTTGCAAAACAATGTTGTTAAATGTATTTTGAATCCGACGACTTGTCTAATCGATCACTTTGGTCTCGAGACCAAAGTGATCGTTTTGTTAAAGATGATCATCTTTAACAAAAGCAAATGAAAAAATATTCAAGATTTGAAAGATTGTTATTCATTTCTGAAGGGTCGACACTCCATTTAGCCTCTCTTCATTTACAGTTTGTAATTCAATGTTAACCCTTTATTGTTTTAACATTTCTTATTACTTCACCTTTTCCTTTTTGCTCAATATAAATATTGGTCCAGATGAAAAATTTATCAGATTTTTTCTCTTTTTCTTAATTGTGATTAAATGTTGTTTAAGGAGCTTCCTCGGAGGAAGAGTTTGAGGTTTGAACAGTTGTTAATGAAATGAAAGAAATGATGAGAGTATAAAGTGTTTTACCAAAAATAAAGTATAGAGGAATCGACATCAGTTTGTAGAGTGGGTTCGTGAAAGAGCCACAAGCGATTAGAATATCGAATGTATGCCGAGATCCAGGATGTAAGCCAAAGCTTTAAGCTTTGGGATAATCTATTTCAAGAGGAACACAGAATAAGAGGACAAACTTTGTTTATCGTTATAAAAAGATAGAAATCACTTTATTTTGAGAATAATTATTAAAAATTGTTTAAATAGAGGTTATCACAATAGAATTTCAAATCAGGGGTGAATATGTATCAAATTGAACAAAACAAAGGGAGTGTGAGTGTTGCGGAGATGGAAAAGACTAGAGATGGAAATAGTAATAACTGTAAGTTATAATAGTAACTTGGAGAAAACTGGAAAAACTGAAGTTGAAAGGGAAAAGGTGAAAGCTTATTATACTCATAGTTCGAGGAATAAGATTAGTAGTCGAGACCAGTTAGGTGTTGCTCCACGATTCGGTTCCAGACAGCAGATTCGTTTGAAGTATCTCCAGAAGCATCTTCATCTTTGTCTTTGTTCCTTTGATTCAGAAATATCTCTTTCATCTTCTCCTTATATACACTCCAAAATGTATTTGCACCAAAATTTTCATCAAAATATACATCGAACCAAACACCCCAAACTCGAATACCAGGGACTATAGCTGATGCATTCAATGGTTTGCCATGTCGTAGAACCCGACAAGATTTGTCTTTATTGAACTGAAAATTTATTTCAGCTTGATACAGGAAATTTGTTCCAAGCATTAACCTGTGCGGTAAATTATCGAACACGTAAATTTTCAAAGACATGCAGTTATTGTTGGGCAGTAATTTGATAAACATCTTGGTAAAACCATTTGCATTTGTTGATTCAGCTTCTCCACCAAGTCCAAGGAATTTTTCAGGATAAGGAAAGACCATGAGACCTAATTCTTTAGCGAGATCTGTCGCTATTAAATTTGTATCAGCACCAGAATCAAGGATTACATTGATAGGATCAATGTCAAGATCTTCAAATTTTAACTTGTAGGTCACAGCAGGCAATGGACTATCATCATTAGGTGATTTATTATCAGAGACAAAGCTTTTGGCTTTAGATCTATTCTGATTATAACTGTTTCTTTGAACTTGGTTCTGACCTCGGTATGAATTTCTTTGATAACTCTGCTTGTTGCCAAACCAATAAGAATCCTCAGTAAAAGTGGAAGTAATATTATGAGACATATTGGCCCTAGCTAGTTGAGGTATCGGGAATGATAAATAGTTTAAAGTTGAATCAGTCTACTTGTGATATGTTGGATAGCTTACTCAAGGATTAAGAATTGAAAATTCCGTTTGTTTAGAGTAATTATTTCAAATTGTTTTTAATATCAGTTATCAGATAAATCAGGGGTAAAGATAAAGGAAATTGTACAGAACAAAAGGAAGTATGGATAATACGGAGATGGAAAAGGCAAGAGAAGAAGTAGCATGGAGAGAAAAACTGGAAAACTGACTTCTGCTGAAAAGGGAAAAGGAAATAGCTTATATCATAGAGTAGTATCATGGATAAAATCCTTAATTATCGATATTTTCTGATTGTAATGATCATCGATTAATAAGATACAAACATCGATGTTTTATAATTTTCCTGAATCCTGCTATTCAATTTCGTTTGGTGTGATTTTCGTTCGTTTTTTGGCTCTTTTTCATTGCTTTAAACTATGCCTGGAACTTTTTCACTGAACATAGATTATTGATGATCATCGGCTTTGAATCGATTTGAAAAAAATTCTCGTCAATCGATAATCTGTAATTCGCACAATCGACCAACACTATCATAGAGTAGAGAAACGATTTTTCTCAATGTTAAAGTTGAAAGTTTAATAAATGGCTCTAATGGTTTATTGCAAAAATGAAGCAAAATTGGAGGGAAAATGTAAAATTTTTGAAGAAAAAGAAAAAATTTCAACATTTAAAAGATTGTTGTTCATTAAGGGATCGACACTCCATTTAGCCTCTTTTACAATTTGCAATTCAATGTCAACCCCTTATTAATAATCAAACAGTTTTTATTCTTGAATCTTCTCCTTTTTGCTCAATATAAATTAAAGAGTATAAATATTGGTTGAACTTTTTATCAGATTATGTTTTTCTCTCTTTCTAAATTGTCATTAGATATTGTTTGAGGAGCATATGCTCTCAAACTAGCGTTCATCATTTAATTTACTCAGCTTGAGATAAATCACTTGCTACTTGTGTTCATTGTATTTTGATTTACTTGTGTTCCGAAAATCCCAACTTGAATAAAATAAGTTAACCTTAACTTACTTGTTAGTGTGTTAGAGTTGGGTTTGTGGCAAAACATAGATGATAAGAATACCGATTAACATATCCGGAATAAAAATGATAACAACTTTACAGTCACCATAACTAGAGATCCACTTTTCGGAATGTTATCAAATTTTTCATGTGTGTTTTTGAAAGTATAAAGAAGTTAAATTCAAAAAATCAAAGCGATATTCTTACTAGAATTTAAAATATTGTAGTTTAAATAGAGGCAAGTTTCTAAAATTTGTGCCGACTATGAGAAAAATTAATGGACCATTTTGACCAACACTAGAGGGCGCTAGTCAAAAATGACCAAAAATTCAGTTAATTGTGCATAATTAAGCCATTCTAGAGAATTTGATGAGAGATTTATTGGCAAAATGTTTGCAGGAACTCAATGGTCAATATGCAAAAAAGATTTGGTTGGTAGGTTGAAAGCTAAGCTCAGAATTGTTTAGTGAATTAATGCTTCGAAATTAAAATAAAATGTCGGAATTAAAGTGATTAACACTGATTGTGAAGGGTAGAATGGGTTAATTCATTGGCTATTGTTAGTACTTTGAGCTACGAAAAAAATTGAATGTCTAAGATAAACGATTGTCAACATATCTGTGATTGAAATTCATTATCATTTTTATTCCGGATATGTTATGTACCGAGACCGTGGATTGAAACCGAAGCTTTAAAGTTTGGGAAAATGCATTTCACAAAGAGCGTATATTGCACTAACGACACAGAATAAGAGATCACACATTGTTTATCGTTAAAAAATCATTTTATTTGCAGAATAATTATTTCAAATTGTTTCAAGTAGAATCTCAGTCCCAATCAATTGAGACAGCGTTCTGTTTCGAATCCCAGTCATTCGTTTCCCAGTCCGAGTCGCTTGAAACATCTTCAAAAGTAGAGGGCTTTGGCTTCCTTTCATCTTTGTCTTTAATCCTTTGATTCAACCAAATCTCTTTCATCTTCTCTTTGCCTTTATTTGGACCAAAAAAATTATCAAAATATTCTTCGAACAAATTTTCCCAAAGTGCAACACCAGGGACTCTAGCTGTTGCGATCAATGGTTGGCCATATCTCAGAATACGACAAGATTTGTCTTCATTGAATTGGAGGTTTATTTCAGCCCGAAAAAGGAAGTTCTTTCCAAGAATTAGCCTGTGCGGTAAATTATCGTAGACGTAAATTAGTAAACATATTTCTTTATGGTGTGGCTTTACTCTGATGAACATCTTGGTAAACCCAATTGCGTTTGTTGGTTTAGCTTCTCCACCAAGTCCAACCAATGCTAAAGGATAACGGCAAATCAAAAGACCTAATTCATCAGCGAGATCTTCTGTCATTAAAGTTGTTTCAATGCCAGAATCAAACATTACAGTGATAGGATCAATGTCAACATCTTCAAATCTTAACTTGTAGGTCACATCAGGGAACGGGCTATCACCATTTGATGGTTTATCATCATATCCGAGACCTTGGGTTTCAGATCTAGCTAGATGATTGCTATCTAATTGACCACAATGCTGATCTTGGTTTGAATTTCTTTGATAACTCTGATTATTGCTTCCTTGATAATTATTCCGATTCCTTAAGCGGAATCCGCTATCAAACAAATCAGAATCATCAGTATTTTTAATAAGAATAAGATTAGACAGATTAGCCATAGCTAGTTGAGGTAATACAAAGGAATGATAAATAATACAAAGTTGAATTAGAGTCAGTTATTTGTGATTTATTGATAGCTTTTTCAAAGCCTTGAAAATCTGAAGCGTTGTTGAGAGTAATTGTTTCCATGGTTTTAAATATATGTTATTAATATAATAACACCAGAATTTCCAATCAGGTAAAGATATATGAAATTATCCAAAACAAAGGAAGTATGGTATTGCGGCGATGGAGAAGACCAAAAAGAAATGTTGACTGCAAATCAGAGATTTGTAGATAGAACTGTGGAAAATGGTTTCTGCGGAAAAAAGAAAAGGAAATAGCTTTTAGTCAAAGATTAGCGAAAAGATGTCTCTTAATGTTAAAGTTGAAAGTTTAATAAACGGCTCTAATGAGAGCGTTAATTGCAAAAATGAAGCAAAATTGGAGTGAAAATAAAAAACGTTGAAAAAAAGAAAAGAACATTCAGGATTGAAAAGATTATTCATTTCTAAGGGGTCGATACACCATTTAGCCGCTCTTCATTTACAGTTTGTAATTCAATGTCAACCCCCTTAGTTTAATCTAAAATTTTAAATTTTAAATTTCTTATTCGTTTACCTCTTTTTGCTCATTATAAATATCGGTCAATTTGAACAATCTATCAAATTAACTTGCAAATTCTTAATTGATTCAGTAGCGCATGATCTCTAACTAGTGTTCATCAATTACTCTACATAAAATTACTTGTGTATTTTTTTGATTCAACAAATTTAATGTTATGAAACGTTTTAGTTGCTGTTCAAGGCAATCAAGGCAAGGTTTTTGTCAATCAAATAAAGTGAGTTCAAGTTGATTTAGTTACCTCTTGTTTGGTTTGATACAAATGGTTTGATTATTAATTACAATTAATCCAATTTTGGTTCATCTCTTGGATGATTTATATTTACTTGTTTGCTGTCTTGGTTCACTCTTGTCAGTTGATTGAGAGACCAAAGGAATTGATTGGTTCTATTATTATTGTTATTAATACCATTTAGATTCAAGAGTTGGGATCTTTTTGCGTGTTTCAATGTTGTTACTCCAAAGTTATCATAATTGCTGATTGTAACAAATATTTTAACAAGTATTGCACCAAACGTTGCACAAGAATTGTATCAACCATTGGGTCCAGTATAACCTCAAGATTAATGATGGTTAGGGATTGATTAACTGGTTAACAGGGTGAAAATGAGCTGTACAATAAAGACTTTAGTTTCAGAGATTATCTGTGTTCATTTGATTAACATGAACACACAGTTAACATTGAAGATTGATGAAAATGAGATGAAACTTTTCCCAAAGCAGAATAACCAGAGCAATCATAACCAGGGAAAACTAGTCTAACAATCAAAGTTAAACATTTGGGTTTGACTTTTTGCCTTCTCTTTTTATCAGCAAATTGATCCAATTAATATGGAAACATGGAATTTTTAGCTTCTTCATTTAAAACAAATAGGAGAAAACATTGTTGAACTTTTCCTCTGATTTGGCCAAATAAATACAATAATAGCTCCAAATTGATCAATACCATTGTGTACCACTGAAATTAGTATCAGCTTAAAAAGTAAAGTATAAATCCTTGCGTTGATCATTATTATCTAACAATGACAAACGTCAAAAAAGACAACAGCCTAGAGGAGTCTCTTGGCTTCCTAAATTGAATCTTTCAAGTCAATCTCAAGATGTTAATGGTATTAATATACTTGAAGCAGCTTCTTCTCCACAAGCCTTTGATTATCGTCCAATACAGGGTTTCCTATTTTCCCTTCGACTTCCTAATTTGACCAGAATGAAGAAAAAACCTCCTTCCATTGACCAACAGGATAAAAATAAAGTTGTTATAATACAAGAGTCAAACACTAAATGTTGATCTTGAACTGGACCATTGTCATGTAAGAGATCCATTAAAATAATAACCTTTTACCATCACCATTTTAAACCAATTCAATTTAAAGCACAGCTTTAATCATAATACGATAGCACAATTTAACACAAAATATAATTTAAGAAAAGAAGACAAAAATTACAATCTTTTTACCAATTAAATTAAATAAGATCAAAAAACAGTCGATAAAACGTTATGATTCAAAGAAACAAAAGCATTATCTTTTAGTAAGATGAAACAAAAAAAGCTAAATGGTAATGGCGCTCAATTGAAAAATGGGTAAAACCAGAAATGAAATAAAAAATTTCCAACAATTGAAGCTTCATTTTATCTTTTTTTTATTTTATTATTACATTATTACCTTTGTTTTTATACCATGACCCTGTTGTGAACTTATTGTGATATCAATAATATTGATAATCTCATTTTCCGTTTCTAATAACCATCCAACAATCTTAGGTTGAACCCAGAATTTCCGTTTCTTTTTTCTTTCCATCATTGAGAGTAATAATTTTTTCTTGCCTCAACATCGACTTCTCTGAATCATTAAATTGATGATAATCTTCACTTCTCTGTCTTCCAAGTAATACATTAATAACAATGTTAACTCACCATGTTGATGTCAATGTGAATTATAACCTGGTTTAATGGTGACCAATTTAAATTGCTTCTAGAGCAATCTTTTAATTGAAAAGCAGCCCAACAAGATGAGCCAATGAATCAATCTTATCTATTAAATTTCTCGACAAAATATTCATTATTTACAGGCTTTTCATCAACTCAAAGTAAACAGTTGATAATATTACATTCCCTGAGAGTATTTTTCATCTTGACTCAACCTTTTTCCTCTTATTCATCAATAACACCAAGTCAGACAAAAAAATAACATTCATTTCATATTTCATATTTTTTGCCTCTTCTTCCTCTTCATCTTCTCTTCGGACATTTTGATATATAATATATTATTTCAAGATGAGCAAAAAAAGTGAGTTTAGATGTTCAGTTAAGATGAAAAAAATCAACTTTTAAGAGGTAAAAAGAGACGTGAAAATGTTTCAAGTTGAATGCTTATTCTATAAGAATTGGTTCAAGATGGAAAAAAAATTATTCTGTTAACTGTTTTTATCTCTTTTTTGCCTTCAGATTTCAGTCTTCAAGTAACTCAGTTATCAATATATCTGTTTCAATCCAACTTTTTGTGCGTTGAATCAACTTATCAAAAGCCTTAAAAAAGTGTTATCTATTAATAGCTTAAGAGCAAATGATTTATTATTAAAAAAACTGCATTCAGGCAACAATTTATTGAATCAATTTGGGTTTTAGTTTTCGTTAAATGTATCTTCAACTTTGGAATCTTTCATGGAATTATTAACATTGAAAAGATTTGAATAAATCTAAAAGATTATCATTATGATTGGTGTTAAAATATTTCAACAGTCCCTTAACCTTTTATTACGCTCTTGAAATGTTTTAAGTGGAAGCAGCAAAAAAGTGTTCTTTTTTTGTTTGAGCTCGATTGAGCTTCATTCTGATGAAAGATTTCTTGAATAGAGACTTTACTTTAGAGTTTTCTCCTTTTTAGTTGGCTCCATGATTAGCTTGAAACGATTGGAAAAGAAAATGATGAAGATTAATCATGAATTTGATAGTGAAAGTGAATTGTTGTTGTTTTTTCCTCCGATTTATTTGCCTCTCGTTACTGCACTTAATTTGACGAGGAAAAGGTTTTATCCGAGAGATTGTATGGAAAGGATCAAAATGGATTAATAAAAGCAAAATTAGCTCAATTAGTAATTAGCTAAATGACGACATTAAATTGAAACATGAATAAGTAATGATGCTGATATTCATGATATTAACGGTTCTTGGATGATAATCATTTTCATCATGTTCATCTTTGTCTTCTTTACTTTCTAGTTGTGAATGAAAAATGATCAGAAAAAAAAGATGGTTCATGTTGATGGTGATAATGATGAAACAGTAAGACAAAAAAATTACTTTGACTGAAGATGATTCAGTCAAGATTGATGGTCAAATCTCATGAGCATCGTTTTTTATGTTGGGCTTTTATACGTGTTCCTCTATGTGTGATTGTCATTGAACAGTGAAGTATTAACTCATGGAAAAAATGGTTGATTCATGATGTAATGATGATGAGAAGAAGACAGGGAAGGAAAAGGAAATGCTGAGTTTCTGGTGATGGGCGAGTTCCCTTGTATCCTTATACCTTTTTGTTCCAACGTCATGATCAGGATGCTGATTGGCTGTGATTGTGGATATAATGAAAAAAAGTGGAGGAATAAAGGAAATAGAATTAATATCATAAATGAGGTATTAGTATGGTGGATAATTGATTGACTTACATGTTTAGGTTGACGAGATTAGGTGTTAAGATGTGAGCAAATCATCAAGAGTTAAATAACAAACCTAAACAAAAACAAGGGCAAAAATGAAATCTAAAATTTGAACTTACGCTTAAATTCTGATCTATTACTATTTCTTAGAGTTAATACTTACTTAATACCTACTTTGTTAAAAGTTGTTTGTGTTGTACCAGTAAAAGGATCCATCCAACTCAAGCAAAATGTGTATGAAAAATTTCGATCCACTTGAAACTCTTCAACTGCAAGGTTTCAAACGATTTTTTCATCTTGTTTTTTGTCTGTTTTTATAATAGTTATAAGTTGAAACATAGTTTTGTTAGCAACTAAAACAAGTTGTAAAATTTCAGTTTAAATAAAGTGGTACAGAAAAGTTCAACATCAGAAAGATAAGTCAAAATGTGAATTTTATTTTATATTAACACAAGATCAAGAAACAATGAATTTAAACTAGTGTTGGGTTATGATCAATCGTAAATCGATTTAAATCGACAATCGGCTCCTCTGTTTCAGATCGATCAAGAAAATGAAGAGATCGATTTAACCAGGAATGGCTACTTTAGAATCCTTTGATTAATCAAAAGGCAATAGTTGTTTAATTTTTTGATTTCGACGATTTAAAGATCAGAAGATCTAACCTTTTCTGAAATCACAAAATCTAGCATTGAAATATCTAACTATGCAAGCCCCTTCAGTACCGTGTGAACGCTTATTTTCAAAAATTGGATTAATAATCACTGAGCAACGGAACGGATTGAAGCCTAAAAATGTTGAATTGCTATCTTTTCTTGACTCATTGCCTGATATTTACATTTAAACTCGTCTTTTCTTATACTTTGTCAATTTAATAAACTTACGATCGGACAGTCGATGAAATCGATAAAATCGATGACATCGACAAAATCGATTTATCTTTTTTCTATGACCAAGAAAATCGATCAGACTTGAATTGCTTGATCGGCCAACACTAATTTAAACACCTGATTACGGCTTTCAATTTTTACGCGCCAATTGTGAAACTAGGCGGAGCAAGCTGGATATTATTGTTTTCATTTGGATTGAATCGATTTATTTATATGGTTTTATAATCAATAATTCTGAATTAAATTGAATCTGTTTATTATTTTCATTTACAAATTTTTTACATCTTTTTACTTGCAGTTAATGTGACTGAAAATCCAGCGTTCTGTACACAATTTTTAACGGCGTTCTCGGTCTTCTTATTGATAACATCATTACCATTTTCATTATTTTTTTGTATAAAGGTGAGTCTTACATGTTCCTTTTATGCTATCCAATTTAAACCTTTGGTTGATACTGATCAAAGAATGCAGAAATTCTTTCTCTTTCTCCTTCTATCTCCACTATTATTAGACTTGAGCTATTATTGTTGCTCAACACTGTATAATATTACATAGAATCAAGAAGAATCAGTTTAGTTTCATTATTTTCCTCTATGTGAATTTTGCGTTATTTTTAGAGATCCATATCTGCATACATGATTATCATGTGCCAAACCAGAAACATCTTGATCTAATTATCAATTTTGTTTTCATTTTCAGGTTGTTCAAGAATATGAAAGAGCTGTCATTTTTAGATTGGGTCGTTTGGTTTCTGGTGGAGCTAGAGGACCAGGAATATTTTTCATAATTCCTTGTATCGATACTTATTCAAAAGTTGATTTACGTACAGTTTCATTTGATGTTCCACCCCAAGAAGTAAGTGTTAGATTGCGAGTTTGTTTATTGTTAATTTATTTATCTTTTTGTAAATTATCATATAGATTTTGTCAAAGGATTCAGTTACGGTTGCTGTTGACGCAGTCGTCTACTTTCGTATAAGCAATGCTATTGCCTCAGTCTCTAATGTTGAAGATTACGCTCGATCAACTCGATTATTAGCAGCCACTACATTGAGAAATGTTCTTGGGACCAAAAATTTGTCTGAAATTTTGTCTGAACGGGAATCAATAAGCCATATGATACAATCAAGTTTAGATGAAGCCACAGACTCTTGGGGCGTTAAAGTGGAAAGAGTTGAAGTGTAAGTAACAAGTTTGATGTTAAACTCAAAGTTTAATTGTTGATGTAATTAGTAATAAGATTATTTTATAAACCCTTTTACAGGAAAGATGCTCGATTGCCGTTTCAATTACAAAGAGCTATGGCTGCTGAAGCAGAGGCCACTAGGGAAGCCAGAGCAAAGGTTTGTTTTGCTTAAGAAACTTAAAGAAAATATTCTTCTTTAGTTACTTATCTTGCTGGTTTCATGTAATAATCTATCTAATCATGTTTCTTATTGAATTTGATTACTTTAATATGATTAGGTGATTGCTGCTGAGGGTGAACAACGGGCTTCCCGAGCATTAAAAGAAGCCGCTGAAGTTATTATGGCATCACCTGCGGCTCTACAATTAAGATACTTACAAACGTTGAGTTCAATAGCGGCTGAAAAAAATTCAACAATAGTTTTTCCAGTTCCAATGGAGTTATTCAGAGGATTTACTGTTGGTTCTGTTACAAATGAAATATAATATAAATAAAAATCTAAATGGCTTTGCCAATTTGTTAATCGTTGAATAAATTGAAATAAAATAAACACATTGAAACTCTTAAATTTCACACCTTGTGCAATTTGTTCTATTATTGAACGACAAGATCATTAAAAGGTTTGATATATTAAAGCCTATTATTAAAGCAAAGGAAAAATGTTTCACAAATAAATTCAAAAATTGAAAATCCAATAGCCTTAAGGTAAAACAAAATCAAAACAGAATGCATATTCACTCACCTTTAGATGATAAAGGCTTATGAACATAAGCTGCTTCAAATAAAGCCAAATGGATTTTCCGTAACACTCAATCATTCCAAGAAATAGTAGCATTTGGAGTGAAAAATGAAAGCTGATTATCGATAACTAATCACAATCATCTGACATCGGAAAAATTTAGCGCGCAGTAGTTTTAGAGAATCTCACTAGATGGCAGTAGAAAAGCTGGCTTGAATGTAAACAAATAGGGATAAAATTTTAGCAATTTTCTTGTCTATCCGTGTTGGAGTTTTAAAATTAAATTGGATTTTGTTTATTGTTTCGATTACTTTGGTTATAAAATAAATCAATAGAAATTCTGTGATGCCTCCAAAGTAAGTTTAAATGTGAAATAATTCAATTTATTAATAATTGTCGATCTAATGATATTAATTTTTTTTGTACCAGGCGGTATTTTGAGGATGAAAGGAGCGCCAAACCAGGGTCCATAAGTGAAGAATTAAGAGCTGCAATTGATCTTCATCCTGATAAATTACCTATCTGGATTTATAAAATGAGAGTTCTTGGTTATCCTCCTGGCTGGCTTCATCAGGCTGACATCAGCAATTCATCATTACAATTATTTGATGATAGCAGTCAAGCTCGGTCAAGTACTTCAAAAGGTTTGTTTATTTTGTCGGAATTGGGAACCATTTTAACTCATCTATTTCTTTCTCGTACTGCAGTGGAAGAAGCAGCAGCATTTAACCCAGAATGCTTTGTCGAATTTCCTGGTTTCAATGCTCCCCTACCTGAAGGAGTAGAAGATGTAAGTAACTAGAATATAGTATATTTGATTGTTTTACCCTGTTCTCATACAAATCTATTTTTATCTTGTCCAGCATTGTGAATTTTTAGGAATGCCTCCTATGCAAGTTTGGCAACAGCTGAATTATGTCAAGCAAACTATCCCACCACCTAAGCCTGTCCCATACAAGCGAATTAAATTATCATTAAGAAATGATTCAGGTAAGTTCTTGAATAGAAAATGATATTCTAAATTAATTAAACAATATGTTTTTCTTTTACAGAAGAAAAGACGCCTAAGAAGAATACTTCTCAGATAGAAGATGAAGACGAAGATGATGAAATTCAAATTATTGAGCCCTCCAATGATAAAGAGAATACACACTCGGATAAAGAAGAGGAAGAAGAACGAGAAGAAGGAGAAGCTAGTGATAGTGATGATGACGTCATCGCCATTAGTGTTGTTTCAGGCTCTTCAAAAAAGAAGCAAAAATCTAAATCAAAATTAACAACCACCATAGAAAAGATTTCTGATGGATCCCAAAGTACAAATTTAAGCCAGTCCTCAATCGACGAATCTTTTAATAATACAAATATTAATGTACCGTCATCGAGACAATCCAGAGCAATAGAAAAGGATAGTGCAAAAGATAATGGATTAGATAGTGAACAGGAAAGTTTTGCTGAAAGTGAACAGCAATCTTTTAAAGAAAAGTCATCTAACACTTCACTGTGTAAATCACCCTCAGTCAAGTTAATCGGACTTGGAAGTCCACTCCCTGCCAATATAGACAGTAAAAAGCCGCCATTAGAAAAATTCGCTGTCGGAATGGGTGAATTAATTTATTTTGAAAACCTACCAACATCAACAGGAGTTTTTGATAAGATGAGAAACGTCATCTGCAAAGTGCGCAAAAAGCTCTCTGAATGAATTAAAAGTGGGCCAACAATAATTTTATATCATTTCCTCAACTTTTTACAAAATTGTATTATAATTCATCTCATTGGCAAAATTTCTCTATCTTTTTTAAAGTATCATCATCTACTTTTTGTAAAAAAATCTGCATTTATGTACGGCATAGTTTATGTCTGCTAAAAAGATTCAAAAGTCAAATTAAGTAATTTATTTACGCATATGTATATTTAAATATGTATGAGACAGTTGATCCAATTGACTACATATTCGATTCAAAAAAATGATGGAACTAGTGACCAGTTAATTGAGATATCTCATTGGAATTAACGAACTAATAATTTTAATATATTTACAAAAGTTGACTTTAAGCCTGAGACTGTTGTACGAATGGATTAACTGACATATTTGGTGATGGTTGATTCATGACTGTAAAACAAGAAAAAGCAAAATGATAAGATGAATGATTAGAAAACAGTAAAAATCCAACTATTGATAAAATAAAAATAAAAATTACCTTGTGGGGCAAATGCAGAAGCTGAATATCTTCCCATTAATATGGCTACACCTTCGATTAAAGCTAATAAAGTTCCTCCGATTACAGCAGATCCTAACATTGTCATGGTACCACCTAGAAAACAAAATAAAATAAAAAATAAGAAAAAATGTATTAGAAAATTTACCAAGTAAACAGAAGAGAACTGCATCAACTGCGGCATTATAATTTTAACAGTTATCAAATTATGATACTTACTACGCACTGCGAGGATACCTCCAGTAGCTGCTCCACTGATAATTGAATTCCATGGATCTTCTTTCTTCCTAATTTGAATTAATGCACAATCTATTGTGGAAAAAGTGCCTCCCCAAACGGCAAAACTACCTCCTATCATTGGTGCTCTCTGTCTGATTGCTGACCAACTTCCATAAAATCTACGTGAGATTCCCTAGAATTAAAAGGAAAAAAAGTAAACAATGAGAAAATTTGATTCGTAACAAATTAAAAATGAAAGCGCAATAATAATCAGACAGAAAAAAAAATTTCTCAAGGTGAAAACAAGCATGGTTGAAGCACTTGTCATTGTAGATTTAATACTTACGGACGGAGCATTTCTAAAACCTTTGATTCCTTGAAAAACACTCCCTCCAATAGTTCCCATAGCAAAAGCACCTCCACAATCGTCAACAATTCGCCATGGACTGAATAAAGATGTTTAAAATGAACATGATTAGCCAGATGTCAATATAAAAGTTGAGATAGAAAACAAACAACCGGGACACTTACCAAGGCTCTCTGGTATATTCAGCCATTATATCTAAAATGAGTCAAATTTAACAGAAGCGGATAATTTAATTGTAACTGTAACTATTGAATGAAAAATTGTCACAATATTCAAATTAATTAAAATTAACAATTAGTTTAATTTAACAAGTACAAGTAACCTTGATGATGCAAGTTAAAAAACTCGTGCATGAAAATTAAAAACCGTATGTTGTATATTCAATAAATCCCCTAGATGGCAGTAAATGTAACTAGCGTGGGAAATTTGAAATGAAATTGAATAACAAATAACAATTGAATCTTAAAAAACAAGTGAAAGTTACTTTCATTATAACTAAACATAACAAAGAGTTCATTTTCGTAAACAATTTTATTTCGAGCAATTTTATTTCAAATGCTGTACAGCAGGTCACTTCTGTCACAGGCGGTTTTGACAAGAATTGAACCCAAAGTAGCTGAATATTGATTTGTCCTTGCTAAAGAGATTTGCTCAAATTAACCTAAATCGATAAAAAATGAAACTTTCTTTATCTTGATTCTATTAATGAATGCTTAACTTACATTTACTGTTTTTGTCTTGGCTATATAAGCTTTTGCTTAGCTGGTTTGGTAAGGTTGTACGAAACTCTGCAAGCTTACTCTTTTCACGCTAAGCTGCAGCTTGTTTGGCTTAAGTAGAAGCTCAATAAGCCGAGGGTCAAAAATGTAAAGCGGCATCTATGGGATAGTCAGGGTAGGAGTAAATTAACTTACTTTAAATTGGTAATCCAATCAATACAGTATTTCCTTGGAGTTTTTTGCTTTTTTGTTACACTTCCATCTAGGTGAACTACAAGGGGGAAACCACAAATTTTACAGTTTAAACAATTAAAAAACTTAATGACTCCCCCTGTAGGGAGAGGACTCCTCAGAGGAGCAAAGATGGAAAGAGGGGATGTCAATTAAAGAGTTTAATTGTTTAAACTGTAAAATTCATGGTTTCCCCTTGTATTTCACCCAGATCGCAGTGTAACAAAAAAGCAAAAAACTCAAGGGAATACTGTATATTCATTTAATCCAATTTAGTCATATTCAAAATCACTTTCTATAAGATTATCAAATTTCAAATTATCCAAAGTTACTTGAAAGTTCAAACCATTTTGGTTTTTGTATGAAATTTATACACGATGTACTTATACAAAAATTTCCATTAAATGATCAGCTCTATTTGGACCATTTGATGTCGTCGAGTAATGATCTTTTAATGAGCGCCATCTTCGCTCAATAGTTTGAGTATGAATCTCATAATTCGCAGGATTTCAGAAATTTTCAGAATGGTTGACCCAGTCATGAACAAAACCATGATCATCCAAATGTCGATAAGCTCTTCATCCATCTGAATAAATTGTAGTTCCTAGGTTGACATCTTTTTTAATACATTGGTCAAAGTATTTTCATCTCGACGACTCTCAATTTCGGCAAAACAACGTCTTGATCCTCTCTTAAATCTGACCTTAACGAGAATACACACACGCTTACGTTAATCAATCAACTCTTTTCTCTCAACTCAATTCTTTTTTTAAAAATAAAGTTAATTTTTGCTATAATGAGTGAATTAAAAACCATTTGGGTTGTTAAGTCCTATAAAAAAAGTGGAGTGAAACTCACGTATATGCTGGAACTGCCTGCAATTCCGAATGACGAAGTGATCCATCGCCTGGAACCAATATTTGAAGGATACATACGCTGTCAAAATTTCATCGATAGCTTTTCAACTAACAAGAGGATTCCAATAACTTATTCTGAGCTTTACCAAGCAGTGATTCAAGAACCGTATATGCGTGTGAATTATCAATTCAAAACCCTGTTAAAGTGGTATTCAACGAATGTCCATATCGAATTCAAACTATACCAACAAGGGATGGGTTACAGGAAGCAACAACACAAAATTTAGCTCCATGATAATCAGCTTTGGCTAACCGCAACGAGTGAGCTTGCAGAGTTTCGTACAACCTTACCGCTGGTTCTTGCTGTAACTAAAGCTTCAGAAACTAAGGCTTAGCACAGATTACAACAATGAACTTGTCAACAAAACTTACCTTTGAAAAATATTATTGTTTACATTTTTAATAATAAAAGTATGAAAATGAATGTCTTTACTCCAAAATCAGTGTAAAAAAATGTGTACAAAATCCTTAATTTTGGTCGGTTAAAGGTGAAACTCGCTAAATTCAATTCTAACATAGAAACACGTTTTAACCAATTTTCAAGCGGAAATTTCAAATCTACAAAAAATCCAATGTGATAAATATTAAAGCATTGAGGGAACCATGTCAAGCTGTAACTCGTTGATACATGATGTACAGTATTTTTCAAAAAAATTGCTAGTAATACAAACATTTATTTTTTATTAATTATAAGATGATGATCTTTCAGATGATTGAGATTAACTGAGCTGAAAGTATATGAGTCAAACATGAAATTTGGAAAAATTTAGTATGATATGTGGCGTCCTTCGACTTTTAAGCACATAACAAGTCGAGTTTTTAGTGAAAAAATTATGTAAGTTAAAAACTTCTATGGAGTTTATAATGGAGAAATGGTAAGCGCTACCTGTTGGTTGGTTGAAATTTAGGTGTCGGACCCGAATTAACGCTTATCAGCCTCAGACTCTGACTTTATAATTTTATTTTCAACGATGAAAATGATTATACGACTGACTCAGCACACATTAGCAAAGCTAATGCCTTAGTTTGTGGCATTTTTCAATCCAAAACAGACTTGCAGTCTTTTTTCGTGATTTTAGGCAGCTGAGGTAATTTCAATGACAATTATTTCATACAAATTGGACTCTGAATGCTGAAATTTTTGTAAATTTGAGCTCTCTGAACACGTTTTAGTCCCTTTCCAGAATTTGATAAAATTTTCAAGTCTAATCTTGAAACAAACATAGAGAAGTGACAGTTTTTTTGAAAAATACTGTATATTTGTATTAGTAATTTTCAGCTTTTTTCATTGCTTTATCGTTTTTTCTGGTTTTATAATAATTTCTTCTTCTGCTTTAATGGTATCAACAAAACCGACATGTTTATGTCTCACATATGGGAATCACTGTGGAAATAGCTTGTAGACGAGATTATTCATTTGATTAAACAGCCTTTTTTAAGTGTTTATTACCTAGAGATTGTGATTTTCAACTAGTAACGGATTTTTTCACTTGTGTAAAAATAGAAGGTAAAATTTTGCCGTGACTTTAAAACATTGGATACCGGAGCGTCAATTTGATTCAACCTTGTATGGAAACAGAGTGATCGACTTGAACAAGCTGAACATGATGATGACAAATAAAACTGATGACGGCTGATGAGATGATATTGAACGTTGTTACAAAAAATATTAGTTGATGGAAACTGATGATGATCAAAGAACCTTAATAATCCAAGGACAAATCAATGTTTAACCATTACAGTTGATTCTATTTTCTGGTTAATAGTGTGACCATAAATGAACTGGACCGATTCAATCCTGGTTATGTGTATTCCTACACATTAAGTTATGGATTTTGATATGTTACTTGGAATATTCCCTGAGATTGGTTACACCTTGTCACTGAGTCTAATTCAATTATGGTTAAATAGTCAGGAGAAATAAAGAATGTATTGATAATCAAGAAAGTGGAGAGCAAGAAACATGTGAAAGGGTGACATAAAAAGCTAATGAAAACCCTCACAACCAGTCAATCTAACCTGTTTTCGGACTTGCAGATGACCCTTTAAAGCTTACCTTCACCCTGAGTATCTGTTTCACTATTGATCTTTCATGTTTACAATCTAATGCTGTGTAACAAGGATCAACCCTGGATTGTAACCAACATCTAAATTAACATGAAAACAACCTTAAATATCTAATTAACCTGCCAATAGAGCTCACACTTTCTGGAGATGCCTTTTATGCTGCCTTCGCTATTTGAAACCTACAAAAATTGATGCTCTAAATTGATGATTTATACTTGATTTTTACTTGTAAATCAGCTGCAAACTCAAAGCGAGCTTTTAACGTTTCATTTCCAATTCTTTTATTTTCCACTCAGTTTCCATCGTTTGATTGTGCCTTACTGTTTATGAAAAATAATGTCTAACCAATTCGACTCTCACCAGTATTGATATTGAAATACCTTTAATTAACCAAAGCAACATCAAGGTAAGCTCAATTTAGTTATTATACAGATGCATTTTGCTTTTGTGTCTCAATTACCACCAATCAATTGATCTAACCTTCCTCTACCTCTTTTTTACCTTGATCATCCTTGATTCAATTAAAATTTTCTCAATCTCATCCTTTCACTATTCATTTCTCTCCTGATTATACCACTCACCATGTAAGATGATATCTTCATTAATAACTAAATACATTACCAATTATAATCACAAACAACATGTTAATATTGTTTCCCTTCAATATTTAATGCCTTCAACTTTTTCCTCAAATTTCAATCTAAATTACAAACAATTACAATTGTCAAGATTAACTGTTGGCCTACAAGCTGACAAAGCCAAAAGTGAACCAAAAACATTATAAATAGCTTCAGTTTCAGATTAATCACTGATATCTAGCTTTTCAAATGTCAATCTATGAATAGTAAAACACAGTTTTGAATTTCTGGTTATTTTTTGCTATTTGACTTACAACCTTTGTTAGCCATTGTGATTCTTGTTGTATTTCAAATAGTAACCATATTTTACCCATTTTATGAATTGTGTAAATTGTACCAAAAATTTATGAAAATGGAAAGCAAAATATAAATAATTACATTAGTTATCGTATCAAAGTGTTGATTATGATCTTGAGGCCATCAAAGATGTTTTTATTAAAATGATATTTCAATGTTTACTTCTATTAAACATGACGTTGTTCAGCTTTTCAATTGTGATATTCATAAGAATCACCGGAAATATTTGCTAAAAAATGATTGAATTTTTCCACTTCTTTCAAAAGGTAACCTTGTTTTTTATTAAATTGCTATGAATAAATATATGAAAAAGATACTTTTTTTGTCTTTTTAACTTCTAATCCAATTCAAACCAAAATCTTGGTTTCAACCAAAAAGTAATGGTCAACATTGACCTTATTGACCAACAATCAACCCAAATACCAGTCTGTATCAAGACCATTACACTTGAACCTTGATCAAACACTTTCTATTGTTAGACAATTTCATATTTATTAATATCGACTCTACTTTCACCTTCATTTTCACCTCTTTTTTACCATCCATTTGTACAGGTTCATTTGATTTCAATTAAACCGTTTAATTGATTACTTTTACTCATTACTTTCATTTATTGATTAGAGAAAAAAACAGGAACTTCGATGAAATTAAAGTGCGATTCAATGAAAAACAATGAAGTTGATCGACAAAAATAAAGGTCAATTTGGAAGATAAAAAAGGTCGCTAATACAATTATCGATGAAAAAAAGTGACTGCACTTTATCCATTGAATCAGTCATTTAAGATTGAAAATTGAAAGAAATTGAATCGACAATCAAAAAGTTTCAATATTAATTGTGATTCTTGCTTCTCAAAGCTTTTCATTCACTTTCCTTCCCATTACAATTCAATATATTAATGACATTGAATATGTGATGCACAATACTAAAGGAAAAATAATATTAATCTTTATTTAGCACACAATTAAACACAACAATTGGCTCAACAATCAACACTTGAAACTTTATTGGGATAAAACGAGTTCCAAAAATATTTCATTATGTAATACCAATCAATGGTTGAAACCATTTCATTATTCAAAATGAGAGTTGAAAGAAATGAGAAAAAATTCAATAATTAAAGATTCTAATTGTAGGTCAGTTCCTATTTTAAGATCAAATCACATTTGATCAACCTTTCAACTCAAACCTCAAAGTTAAATAAATGGTCAAAAAATCCTGTAAACTCAATGTTAGTCCAATTTGAGGTCCAGCAAATGAAAATGAAATCAATTTTACTCTCAATCTCATAACAATTTAAGTAAAGCTTCTAATCCTTACCTTGATGCTTAATATCATAATCAACTTTGATTCGGTTCATGATACAATTGAGTTTATCTCGTTAACATTGAAACAATTTTGTGTGAAAACAGAAATCAATAAATTGTTGTTTTAACAATTCAAGTTATAAGGAAGAAATGCTTTTGAATTTATTTTTATAATAATAGTTGATTGGAGAAACATTAACTTTCGGGTTTTTCAAGATAACATTTTCATCATTTAGTTTGTGATTCATTTTCAGCTTTTCAGTTGTTCATCATGATTCGCTTGCCAAGGTTAACCTTTTCCATGAAAAGACCAGTTTTTGTCCATTCGATTGTTGACTGAATTTCACACCAATCCATTGAATCACTGATGAAACATTACATTTCATTATTCACCTTGAAAAAGTAACTCTTAACCAATTGAACTGGAAATTGTTTGAAATGGAAAAAATGATTTTTTCTGTACAAAAAATGAAAAGTATATTCAACTCTTGAACGCAATTATTATCAACACTTTTGGGTATTATTTGAATTGCAAAATTTGTACAATTCCGATGAATATTCAATTAACCGTCCATTGATTAACTCGACTCTTAAAATAAACTGAAACTCTTGGAATGATCAAATCCATTTGTTAGGCTTAAATGGTTATTGGTTACAAAAATTAACACCAATCTTGTTGATTCTTGTTAAAGATAGACTTGTGATAAATTGATGAAACTGATTATTCAAGTCAATTACTATCATCTGTTTGACTATCATTGTGATACTCAACGGTAAACATTGTATTTACCGTTGAGTTGATGCTATTCATGGACTAGATTGTTAATTGCTTGTGAGTAACTTCTCAATGTGATTTAATGCAATAATAAAGCTAAATTACCAGTGAGAAAATAATCATCATTTTATTATTCTTTTAATATCAGTATTAATAGAAACAATAAACAACGTTTCTGAAGGTTAATCGCAAGCTGAAAGTGAAAGTCAGTAATCAAAAATATATTTAATCAAATCTTTCTTACCTTTCTAAATAACTGTTAACTGGATAAACATTTTATTTTTGTGTAATTTTTATCCAACAATATTACATGCGTATCATTTAAATCAAGAGTTGATATCCTTGATCATTTAAAGTATTTTGGTTTACATGATATTTTTGATTCTGATTGATTGTGAAGAATCATGCTTTATATTTTAAGGATTAGAAGGAAGTTGAATTGAAAGATCAATGAAACTTGACTGTTTCAAACGCCTACTGAATTTGGTTCAAACCTAGGTTTAATGATATTCAATTTAAACCTTTCAAATTGTTGTTGAAGTTGATTAACCTTAACTGGTTGTCATGTATTGTAAACAGATGATCAAATATTGAGAGAATGGTAAGACAATTGGAAAATATTTTTACATTAATTAACCAAAGGTATGGAATCCATATTTTCATTACAAGTGTAAATCTATTCCAGCATTTGATTCCCGTTTGAGTTGAAAGCTGGCATGATTGGGCAAAACAGCTACGAGTTGATTTTGAGAGATACTCATTTGCATTGGTAAAAGTTGGTGCAAACCAAATGAGGAATTGAAAAATTGAGATTTTACATGTTGTTAGATCGAAAAATTATCTGTATATTTATCCTGTGTTTCAATGAGCCAACATTATCCTGTAATCTGGTTAATAGTAGTTTTGGTTTCCAATGAGATCCCCGCATTGATGTACAGACAATTTGCAATTTGAATAATCATTATCGGAATCCTGTTCTCAATTGGGTCATTGTCAACAGTTAAAGGTTCAATCTTGAATTATATGTAGGTTCACCCAGAAACCTTGTCTTATCCATGCAGTACAGGCAATCCATATCGTGAAAATGGCTTCACTTAGATCAGGGGAACAGCGTTATGATTCAGTATTGCCTTATCTATTTCCATAAAGTGATCCATCTGATATTCCTAGGTTGGCCTCTTGGTATTGGGCCTACTGAATTACTTCTTTATAAGTGGTACATTGATGATAAATTATCTCGCACATTAAAATTGAAGAGGAATAACAATTACAAATCATAATGGTGGTGTTAATCCGACTGAGTATCTTCAAGATTACTTGTATAGCTGTAAATATGTACCAAGTCCTTGGCTTTAATGTAGAGTTGATTCCGTTTTTAGATTCCACCAGATTATTTGGTCTGATACAATTGATGATAGAATTGTCTTCTTGGTTGATTGTTGATTTCAACTTTGTCGGTAGTTTAACGAAGAAGATATCACAAGATAAATGCAAATACCAAAGAGTAAGTTACCTTACTCTTTGGCAAATACCAATTAGAAAATGGATGAAAATGTAAAAACAGTTGTTGATAAAAAAAGGTTCAACTACAGATGTTGTTTAGATAAGAGACATGTTATAATAAGGCGGGAAAATAACAATGGGTTGATCATGTGTTACATTAGTCAAATAATGAACTTTTTGTCTTAACCAGCCTCAGTTTGGTTGTGACGCTTCTTTCATTAACAGTCTCACTTGTATAAATACGAGTCTGTCAATAAGTTTCAATATATTGATTAATTTACTTAAATATGGTTCAACTAATTAATCAAATCAACCTGTAAACCCGATTGTATCAACATTAAGCAAACCAAATAATCGTTTGACTCACCATTTGCTGGTTTACGGTTTCTTCTGCAGTTTCATTCTTCTTCTTGTGGTTTGTTTGCCTTTTTTGCGCTTCAACATTCAACACGTAAACAATTTTTAAACCAAGGTATGTTACAATCAAACAATTGACAGTAAACAATCAACTAAATGGTTAATTAGCTCATTACTTAACCTTAATAGTTTTCTTGTTTATCAGATGATACAGAAAGTGTGAGAAAAGAAAGTGGTTAGCAGAAGAGAACCAAAAAAAACCAATGTGTCTGACTTTGGTTCTGGCTAAAATTGAAAACCTAAATTGACTACCCTTTTTTAACATTCAATTTCACAGTGATTTAATTACAAACAGATTCAACATTCATTTTTATTACTGATTGCGTTTTAGTTATTTTCCCTTTTGACGCGAATGCTTGATTTGCTTAACTGTTGTCAATTATTTTCGCTTTTCTTCACCATCAACCATCATTACCGTTTTAACTATCACCACCACTACCTCCCCCTCCTCCTTCCACTTTCGTTTCCACCTCTCTCTTCTTTACTCTCCTTTCATTGTCATCATTCAATTAATCGTCTCTACCACAATTAATTTCCTTATTTTTCTTCCAATAGCCCTAAAGACAATTCAACTCCAGTTGACACCTACAACACCAGCAGAACCTGCAACATCAACAACATCAACAACATCAACAGGAACAGCAGCAGGATCAACTTCACCATTGCCATTACCAATATCATCATAATCATTCTGTTTATCTTTCTCATGGTTGGCTCCTTCTTTTCTCTCTCCGTTTACCTTCTATTCCTCTTTCTTCACCATTGATGATTTTCCCTCTCTCACTTGTTCATCTTGTTCTTCACGTTCACTGTTTCCTCTCTACTTTTCAATTGAACCAACAAATTTGTTATGACAACTTAAATTATCCAGTTTCGCAGTCTTGATTTTTCAACATCTTCATATCACATCACTGAAATCTAACCAATTCAACGCTGCTCAATTCTTGTTGTTTTCACTTGCTGATCAACTTTCACTATTGCTTTTTTTCTTGTTAACTCTTGCTGTTCAGAATATCGCCTTTGGCAAGTAAAACTTTTCAACTTAGCTGGTAATTATGGTGATAGAATACATTCCCATCATTTCTTAATCTGCTACAACTTATACCTCAATCCGCTGGCTTTTCTTTGTGTGACAGTTTCAAGTTGTAAAAATTTGTTTGTTTTTGAAAAGTTCGAACAGATGAATGGAAAATGATTCCTTGACTTATTGCCTTGATCATCGATAACCTCATCCAAATCAAGCCTGTCTCTTGAAAAATGCCCTTAAACGGAATAACATCGTGATTATTTTCAACTGTATATTGTTTCTTGTTGACTGTTTTTAATTTATATCTGTTTTCGCTTCACAAATCAATCCAGTCTTTGTTAAAAAGACAGAAAGTTTGGATTTTTCATTCCCTTTCCACAGACAAAACACGCTTTTTGTAAAAGTGACAAGTTAATTGTGCTGCTACATTGTTTTTTACTGGGAAATACCTAAACCATTTTAAGTTATCGACAAAGATCTAATATAAAAATACAAAATGACATTGTTAGCAACTCGTATCATTGCTTTGATTGTACTATTTAGTATAACCTTGTTAATGGGAATCGGTCCAGTTATTTTATTCCGATTCTGGAATCGTAAAAAACAATCAACAACTCTTGAAGTCAGTGGACGAAAGAGGTCTTCATCCAAAGGAAATATCCAGCAATCAACAGCCAGTGCAATCACACTTCAACTGCTAATGTTTTTTGGCGGTGGAGTTTTACTTGCCACTTGTTTTGTGCATCTAATACCTGAAGTTAGAGAAAATTTTGACCATTTTTTCCATTCCAAAGAAGGACAAGCATCGTTTTTAGGTCCTAAAGCTTCAGCTCACCATGATCACTCCCATGGAAGTGAACATGACTCTCCAAGTGAACATGAATTTGACCCAGAACATCACGAACATGGTCATGATCATGACCACGGAAATGAGACAAATGAAACCATTGGAATAAATAATGGAAGCTCGTCATCGTATGATGAAATAGATTCAGCAGCTTCATTAAAAGCGTCTACTGGTCACAATCACAAGCATAAAGTTCCATATGTTGAACTGGCCATTTGTGGAGGCTTTTTCCTCATATATTTCCTTGAAGAGTTTATCCATCTTATAATTGGATCCAACCACCATGAAAAGGATGATGGAGGATCCATTGACACAAGTTCAACCACAGTTATTGACAAACCTGGGTCAAATGGAACCGTTCAAATGGCATTTGATTGTGAACCAATACCTAAAGGTAGCCCACCTCATCTTGTTTCTTGTGTAAAAATTCCATCTGCATCTCCTCACTATGGTACAATTGGCTACGACAATCACGGAATCGATTTGAAAGAAGACTCTATGTACACAGGATTCCGGCCAACTCCTATTGAAGCATTTAGTGATGTTCGAGGAGACATAAGTCCAACCTCGAGTTCTTTTGATATGCTGAATAAAGCAAGTTCATCATCATCAACTACATCTTCATCCAATCTTGTACCTTTATCAGTTCGCTTCCTCAGAGGATTCGTTACCATAGTGGCCTTTTCCGCTCATTCAGTTTTCGATGGTGTAGCTATTGGTTTACAAAAAACAACCTCTCAGCTTTGGACAATTTTCTTTGCTATTTCAATGCACAAATTGGTTGTTGCCTTTGCCATTGGACTGGAACTTTATGAACAAACGTCGAGTCTTGCTTTAACCTGGATCCACATGATTCTGTTTTCAATAATGTCACCCATCGGTATACTTATTGTCATCCTTACAGAAAGTGAATTTTCAAGTCAAGATAGTCCTGTAATTATTTTGTTAAGTGCCGTAGCAACTGGAACAATACTTTACATTGTTTTCTTTGAGATTTTGCAAAGAGATAGATGTACAAAAATTCCTGGTATGATCCAGTTATTCATCATGGTCATTGGCTTTGCCTGTATGAGTTGCTTGACTCTGTTCATCGATCATTAAAACATCATGATGATCATTTTTTAACCATCATGATGATGCTGTTGTATTTCTCTTCAAATTTCTCTTTGCCTCTTCCTGTTCCTCCTTCTTTTCCGCATTATCCTTTATCTTGAGTTTTATTCTTTATCATGATCACCATCATCATCCCTATCTTGTTTCCCTTCATTCAACGACATTCAACTCTAAAAGTATACACAATACGCCAAAGGGATATTTCTCTGAAACAAACTGGATTCTTTAATACTTGCTTTGCTCACCATGAGAAACCAGGATTTTGACCTAACCAATGAGCTAAACGGGCCTCTACAAGTCTAACAGTATTTTCATCATTTTAATCAACATCAACCATCCTACGTAGGGAAAACAGCATTCATCTTTAGTGCTTCTTTTTCTTTCTTTATTCTTCTGACCAATTCTAAATATTATCAATGATTTTTTCATGACTGGACTCCGTTAACGTCATCTATTATTATTTCTTGAGTCCGGTTCAATAATCTGGTGGAGAGGACGACAAATCATTAAAAAGGAAGGACTGTAAGATGAAAAAAGGCAAGAAAGTTGAATATGAGTTCTTTAAAAGAAACCTGTTGACTGATTTGCTGGTGTTGGTGACTTTGACCGAGAGAGGACGAAACTCCGAAAAACTGAACTCTTATTCACCTCCAGTTGATGGCCAAAATTAGTTTAAATATATTATTTAATAATATTTTGCCATACTTTTAATCTTTCTGCGAGATGGTTAAAGTGATTTCAATCATGATTTCACTAAAAATTAATGAGAAAAGAGAAAGTTTCCTGCAAAAGAGGGACCACGAAGCAAACTGTTTGAAGGAAGAAACTAAGAGGGAGATTAAGAAGATGAAGAAGAGATGAAAATGGTTCATACTGTCACCAGGTATGAAATCGTAATTGAGATGCTTTTCATTGAAGCATGTATCATTTTTGCGTCTTTTCCCTTCTTTCCTCTCTCTTCTTCTTTTCTCTCCCAATCTTATCTCCTCGTTTGTTTTTTTATTATGAGTTATTTTCGCACACAATTATTTAAATGACTTTCTTTCAAAATTGAGTGAACCATATCTTAGTCTTTCGCTTAACCGTGCATATACTGTAAGAAATATGATTAAGGGAAGTTAATGTCCACCTTTTGATACTATCATGACAATCATATTTTCGTATTCCATGAGCAATTTTAAATCAATTGAACCCAATGTTATATATTTTTAGGTATTTTGATTGTCGAGCAATTATTTTAAGTCTCATAATATTCAGACAAATTGATGGTTAGCCAAGTCGATCACTGATTATGTATATAAATATTTCTATCTAATGATGATTTGGCCGAAAATTTAATGAGCCAACCTCCAATGGAAAGGATTGCACTTTTAAAGAAATGAACGCAATTTTTGGATTATCACCACAATCATCATAACCATCATCATGTTCATGTTCATCCAACTTAATTTAATTTTAACCTTTTTGATTAACCGCACAACAAATCAAAAAGTTAATGTATTTTTACTTAATTGTTTAGTTTTTCTTCACCTTTTACATTTTTACCTATTAGACCGAGAAAACTAGCATTAATTGAGTATAAAAATACAACTTTTACCATGAAGCATATTTTTATCTCTCATTCGAGCTTAAATTAAAATCAATTTGGCGCTGAAATCTTTTATCAGATACTTCAAAAGGAATCCAAACGTATCTGATATCAAAGTATTTTGAAAATTTTTCCATCAAAAGCCATTTTAATTACCAAATGATCAAACTCTTAATTGTAATGACCAAATAAATTATTTACTTTTAAAATTGCCTTTCTTTAATTGATAATTTAAGTGATTGAATGGAAATTAATTGTTGTTTAAGAACCCTAAACTTCAGATTCGAATGTCTTTCATCTTTGAAAAGTGTTCCTGTTTATTTGTGAAAAAAGTGAAAACGATCTGAAAATGAACAAAACAGTGATTGTAATTGAAACTCTTATTGTATGGTTTAATACATCAATTAATTTAGTGTAAACGTAACGTGTGACTAACTTGGTTCCGGCTTAATTATCAACAAGAAAGAGTATAATCAACAACAATACTGTATTTGGGCGATGATTTTTGCAAACTCTCGCCGTTTTTTTTTATTTCTGATGAACAAAAAAAAAGATTCAGATTTCAATAATCGAAGGACCGTTGATTTTGGTTTACATCTATGAGTGAAACAAATTGTCTAACCTTCACAGTATCCTGATAGTGCAAAATTGGTTGAAATGATTTTACACAAAGTTTATTCCTTGCTTTCAATTGTCTTGTTCCCAATGTGATTCTTGATAGGATCAACAATCCAACTTTATTGTTTTATTGTTGAACCTGTCTAATGCTGAATGCCATGACCCGAGTAAATATTTTGTTCCAGGTCATCGGTAAACTATCAGTTTCAAGCTTTAATTATCATTAGGTGAATAAAGTGAAAGTTGAGTCTATTTTTTTGGACTAACTTCCATCTATCGCCTTGATGTGTTAACAATATCAATCAATTTCCATAACAAAAGAGTTTAGCAGGTTTAAATGCAAATTAAAGTCAATTAGATGACATTAGCAATATTTATTAGCATTTCTCCCTCTCTAATTGCTTACCAAGATTTTTTTCAAATCGACTAAATATGATAATAACACTGAACTGGACTAATTAAGCAAAAAGTTGTAGATTGTAACAAATTCATGAGTATGCTAAAGACTATAACCCATTATTGACGCTGGAAAAGACAAAATGTTTAAATTGTTGGGTAATGCATCGGTTTATTTACAATTTAGCATATATTAACATGATGATTAGAAAGAATTGGAAAGAGTCGTTTAATATTGTTGTGAAAAAGATTTTTGATGGCTTTTTAATTTAATAAACTTGATGATTGTAAGTGGTTTGATTGACACTTTGGTTTGATGAAAATTTAGTATCCAGCAAGCGATTCAAGATTAATTAGATGAGACCATTCAATTTTTTATTGAGCTAAATGTTTGTCTTAATTGTTTGAAATCATGAAAGGCAGGAAACAAAACATTTTATCACACATCAACACCTTCATCAATCTGGTAACTCTTGTATTCTTGATGCTGATTATTGATTCCAACTATAATCATGTTTATAATGACGATTGATGTGATCTATGGAAAAAAACTTATTTTATCATCTTTGAGATAATTTGTAAATTGATTGTATAAGAGTTGACCTTAGCAAAACCCAAAAAACATGCAAATTTGACATGGAAATTGTGCTTCAAAATGATTAGATGTTACATCGAATTGATAGAAAATACAAATGAAAAAAAACGAATAAAAACAGAAAAATTTAACTAAAAAAAGCAGGTATTTCTTAAATAAATTGTTGACTTTCAAGTTTATTCTGATGATTCAGTTAATCAGGTTGGTTGGAAGTTGAACTTCAAATTGGAGACATTCACTTGAGTTAATGTTGAAGCCGATCTTGATTGAACACTTTGGTGTTATCATTTGTCTTTGCTTTAATTTATGCTTTATCCAGCTTATGATCAGTTGAGTTTTTCACTGGAACCACAAATCTAGCCAAATTTAAAACATTATCAGCTCTGATTTAATCATATACATTAACGTTTCCTTTGATCATTTTGTTTTGATAAAATCAAAATAACGGCATGATTTACAGCAGGATATCATGAAAGTTGGATGTGCACAGGAATCTGGTTTGGCATATTGACATAGGAAAGATGAATTTTGACAATCAGCTGAAATTGAAAGAGAAAATTTTTTAATTAGTTAACATATAATAATTTCAAGTTTCAATGTTGCATTAACTAGGTCTGCAGGTCAAATCAACAAAGGGTTTTGAGTCAGAATAAACGGAAGTCAGGGGAAAAGAAAAGGATTTATGGATAATTTTTATTAATAAATAAAGTTAGAGACTGTGATTCCTTCAGATGGTTGATTAACAAGATTAGCTGTTGTGACTAATTTATTGACCATTAAACAATTAAGTTTGAATAAAAAATTATTTTCCTAAGACAAACAAAATTCTTATTGTAAATAAACGTTACCAGAGGTAAGTTACAGGTTTGAATACAGTAGGTGTTAGGGTTAAGTTAACAAAAAGTGGTCAGAGTTAAGTTAATTTTTAAGTGTCGCCATCTCGAGCATATTTAGTTTTTAGAGACAAGGAAAAAACAATGTAATAGAAAACTGGACAAAAAAAGTTCGATTCTAATGGTACTTTAATTTATTGCTAGAGGGCGACTATGAAAAAAATCTTCCCTTTTGTTAACTTAACCCTAACCCCTACTGTACCTAAATTTTTCTTCTAATTTTAAATTGATTAGATTTAACCTATAACACTTTTATTGTAATTAATTTGAAACATGAGAATCTTTTGTAACCATCATGAAAGATAGATTTTAAACATTAACTAGTTAACATCCGTCTCAGTCTCTCATCAATCTATCAATCCCATGGGTTAGACAATTTATTTTGACTCTTTCTCAACAGGATAAGTTGTCTTTATTACATTGATTAATTGGGTTGATTTGTCAAAAAAAGAGAAGATAATTTCATCTTTTTCATAGCCAGCAAATTAACGGTGAATTTTGAACCTAGAATTTGATTACTTCTATGAATTTACTCACATTGTTTATTATCACAGTTTACATTACACTTCCTAACTGTGATAGGTTTTTTAGACTCATCGCAACCCTTAGCCTCCGATACTTGATCAGAAAGCCATACACATTTAACAGATCGAGTTTGTGTGCCATTTTTGCCACAGACACCAGAACACTAGAAGTAAAAAATGAAAATTAATCAACTGTTGCCTTTCTGGTCACTTCAGAATACGCACCATTTTCCAATCTTCTGTTGACCACATTGGACGACAATCAATATTGGTACATGTCTGTGAAGTTGCTGGGTACGTGCTTTTATCACATTCCGAGTTTGGCAAGGTTTGGTCATGTCTTACACAGGTAACGCTACGCGATTGTTTGGCAACATCAAATTCAACACAATTTGAACACTGAAAATAAATAAAAAGTATTTCAAAATTAGAATAAATCAGTGAATATTGATTATAATTCATTCTTACTTTTCCCCATGGTTCAATTTTCCACTTAGGACAAGACGAATAACAGCTTTTGATGATTTCTGGCTCGTCTAATCCCTTTTTAATACAATGATCATCATGAGTTGCTTTGGAGCTATCCTTAAATTTAATTAAACACTTTCTGGCTCGAATCTAAAAGTCAGATAAAATATTAAATTAATATTAAATTATTTCAAATCAAAAGTGAATAAGTATTGAGCAGTATCCTAACCTGAACACCTAAACCACCACAAGGTTGAGAGCAATTTGACCATGAGCTTACAAACCACTCAAGTTTACCTTCAGCCAGTTCAGTTGATTGGGAATTATCATCATCGGGTCTAAAGCTTGTACTACCATAAATTGTGTCTTCATTGAATGATGAGTTACCAGGAGATAGAAACTTTTTTAATAAAGTACGCGATTCAAAGGCACTCGATTGGATTGATGACGGTCTAACAGTGGAAGAATCCCATGAATTCAAAGGTTCATCAGAAGAGGGTTTTCTAGCTTTTCTTGATCTAGCTTCTGTTTCTTTTATGTTATTATTTGACAGATAATTTGATTGTTGATCAGCAAAATAGATTCCTCTTGGTTCGATAAAATTAGATCCACCATCTAAATCAACTTTATCTGCATCTTGACCATTTGATCGTTGGTTATTATTGTTATTGGCTCTATTCTTAAAGTAAGAAGATAACTTGTGAAGACTAGATTTTTCCATTTCCTGGGTTACTTCGTAAGGGGGTTCAGGTTTAATTTTACCAGTCAAAATGTTATCCTCATCAACTTTATTAATTTCATCTTTATTAATTGTTGCATATTGGAATGATTCTCCATCAACTGGACTCGTTGTAGATGTTAATTTTGGAGTTATCACTTGAACGGTCATAGATAATTTGGTTGATCCATGAGAACAGGCATAATTTCCTGCATCGGAAAGTTTAATTTTGTGAATTTTGAGAGCACCAAGGCGAGTTATACTAACTCTGTCATCATCATTATCCAAATCAATTGGTAAATCATTTTTAGTCCAATATATTTCAGGTAACATTCCACTTGAATCTTTACGCCTTGGACATCTAACTTTAAGAGTGGTTCCTTCATAAATTACAGCAGTTCCACCAACCTTAAGTGAAACCTTTTTATCGGATAGAGTTTGAATAAATGGTTTTCCATAGACATGATCAACGTTATTATTTTCATCAGCTCCAGATTGTGATTTACATTTACCAGATTTACAATTGGCTGACTTTTTCTTATTGCACTTTCCTGTACCTGAAGATAAACTTGACCCATTACGAGAATCCTTTTTACACTTGCGACCACTTTTAATAGGTTTTACCTCAGCTGGACAATGTTTACCCTTACATTTATCATAAGACCATCTATCAGGTTTATCAATGGTTTGTTCAACCAACTTGGGACATTCAGCTTCATTGCAAACCCGTTCTTCAATTGGTTTAGGCTCATTACATCTATCATCAGGGACAATCAATGTATTTTCAGATCCTCGAGTAACTTCATGAATACAGTTAACCTCACGAGTTTGAATTCCAACTCCACATGGTTTAGAACAAGGTCCAAAGTCAGATATATTCCATCTGTAAGTAAATAAGAATTTAAGTAATTAATAAACGTTCCAAATAACTATACTGACTAATTAAGCTTGGCTTTTGACCTCACAATACTTTACCTTGGTGGACATGGATGGTCATTACAAGTTTTCGTGATTGAATCTGGTTTATCATCTATGTTACATAAATAAGGTTGTACCACCATTTGATCATAATCACGGACACATTCAATTACCTCTTCTTGAGTTCCTGTAAGATAGTGAATAATAATGATAATAAATAAGTTGGTATTCTAAAGGAGGAAAAAATTTGATTAATAACAAAAAATTTTCGCCTATTTTTACCTCCAAGACAAGAGGCACTGCATTCAGTGAAGCCAAATGTTTTCCAAGAATAGGAACCAAATTTAGATGATGTAGAAGGTGATGATAATGATGATATAAGAGCTTCGCTTATCCCAGCTTTTGCAGAATCCAAATTATCATTCTCGATTCCATCTGAATCAGGACAAGGAAGAAGCTTACATTCCTCTGTTTCAACTGGTTTGTCTCCAATACATTCATCGTCTGGAACAATGGACAAAATTTTTGAAAAATCCATCATTATTTTACAATGGACTTTTCGCTGTCGAATTCCGGTTCCACAAATTCCTGTGCAAGATCCCCATTCTTCAGGAAAAAATCTAAAAAGTGAGAACAAAAAGAATATCAATAGTAAATTGTCAATTGAATTATTCATAGATTGATTTAAAGTATTATTATACAAGTTGTAAGTGAATTTACATTGGTTCCAATGAAATATTGATTTGATTACTTTTCATTTTGCCAAACTTTCCTTTATAATTTGTTAACTGAAGCAACCAAAATATGAGATGTTCAAACAATCCCAGAATCAACCCAACAGAAACATGATAAAGATGGGAAAAATTGTGGAGGATAAAAGAAAAAAAATAAAATGAATTCAATTGATAATAAACGAAATAGACAAAAACGTTTTAACAAGAAAGACAAACGATATTGGCAGAGTTGATAACATTTGAATATTAGCTTTGGAAATGTATCAAAGAGTTAAACAAATTAAAGACTATTTTAACATTATTCAACCATTTGAAACAAGGAAGACAAAAAAGTAAAGATTATGGTGAAGAGGAGGAAAAATAGAGAAAAGAAAAGAATTGAGTGAGAAAAAAATGTGATAAATAAGATGAAAACATTAAAATGATAGATGCTATTGTAAAGATTGAGAGGAAGAAAAGTTAAAATATAATCAAGAGATGATGAGGAAGATTGGTGCTGCAGATGAAAAGAGCAAAGGATTGCTAGAAGAAATGCTTTATGTGAAGGAAGATAAGAAATGAGGCCAAATCTAGAAGAAAGATGACTTTTAGTTTAAGTGATGTGACACAATTTGACTTGGGTCGACCATTGAAAGTGAATTCATTGAGCATGATGTTTCGCATTGAAGAAAGGGAATGGAAACAAGAAAAAGCTGAAAGTAAAAGTTGAAAGACTAGATAATGATAATGGCGACCAAGAAGAAGCTCATTTTCATCATGTTGATGGCCTTAGTGATAGTTAAGATTATGATGATCCAAGCATTCACCAGTTTATTCAACTATTATTGATTGTTTCAGTTTACAATGATTATCTTCCGACAACAGATCAACAATAACTTTCAAATCAAACCATTTCGATTTTTTTGCAACATTTCTCCGCTTTCCTCGAATCATTTATTTTACTCAATCCGAATCAAATCATCCATAGAATTAGCCAAAAGAGTCATCAACAGAATCGCCATCAGAATCATTACAAGAATCATGATCATCATCAAAAATAACACAGACACAATCAATCAGTCTGTATTTACATTGAGATCAATTGTTTCACTTTACAGCGCCACCTCCAAACCAAATCAATCAACTTTGTATTTACATCAACAAAATTGAATTCAATTCAGTTTCATTACGATTTTACATATTTACTCAACTTATTTTTACTTCCGTTTATTTTTTTCTGATCAAAATTGGAAAAAACATCAAATAATCTTTGATTAGATTAAAGTAAATAAAGACTTCTTCATGTTAAACAAGCAACAAAATTGGCTCTGGTTTTGCTAACAAATCAATCTAAATTTGGACAACTTGGGTTAATATTATTTTGATTTTTTTTGTAAACCTTTCGATATCCTCAAACCGAGCCTCAATAGATTGACAATTAATGTAATTAATCATTCATTGTTTCCATCACGAGTATATTTGTCTTGAAGTTCATCTCATGTCTAACTTGGTCTTCCTTTAACTACTCCTTTTTTTCATGTTATTTTAAGTGTCTCTTTTTTCAGTTGCTTTTATCCACTTGAATACACTTTGGTTTGAGTGTAAACCAGTGAACCTTGAACAAAAATAGGTTAAACATGACTTTATCCAGAGATCATGTTGACCGATCAAGATCATTCAAGTTATTTTTTGCCTCCATCAGCTTCTTGTTGTATTGTTGATACATCAACATCACAAGTAACATCAAAAGCAGCATCAAAAAGACGTTGTTTAACAATCAAAAAAAGCAGAGCTCACTATTGGTAAGAAATCTCTGTAAACGGAAAGGGAAGTTAGTATATGAATTGTATGCAGAAAAAAAGGCATTCAATTTGAGCAACGAAAAAAGCATGATACCGTTGCCCTGCCTTGTATTGTTTTTTTGTGCTACTGTAGTTCAAACAGCAACTTTGATGGATTGTGATCAAAAGGAATTAGTAGTTGCAAAGTATAGTTTCTGCATCCATAGGAAAGTGCAAGGGAAAAAAAGGTTTTGGTTTCCATTGACCATAAAAGAGGATTAGCTGTTGGTCTGTGAATGGGAAATGGTTAAATCTAGTGTGGTTACTATTAACAACTGTGTGATGAATGTGTAGACAGGTTATGGGTAAGGTAAAGGTTTGAAACTGGCAATAGTATGGTAATGTTGATGATCATCTGATGATTATGATGTTGGACGAGTTATAACCTATTACATCAATTGGCAAGGAGAGAAAGTAGAATGGAAAATAATGGATAAATAAAATGTATAATCAAGTAAATAGGGAAACAATTACTCGGGAAAAGGTAAAAGATTCTGTTGAAATTATGATTCTCTCGGGAAATGGACTTGAGACTTAACCCTGTTAGGGTTATCATGTTAAGTTGAGTTTTTTTGTGCTTTGCTTTTTTCCTTCGTCAAAAGCAAACCCTCAAAAGTACCTGAAAACCAGTATAGGTGAATGAAATATGTGCTTTCAAACCATTCGGATAATCAATTTGGTTGGAAAGTAAAGTAGTCTTATAATAAAAAATAATGAAGATAATAGCCATAAACAAGATTCGTCTACTGGTTAGTCAAGCATAGGATGGACAAGATATTTTAGAGAAAGTGTATGTTTATATTCACTCGTTTCTTGTGTCAACTGTAAAAAGTTATCCTGTTATTCACGGAGGACCACTTATCTTGTCAAAATATCATCTGAAAAAGCGTCAAACATTTTCTGTAACTTCAACATAACTTTCTGGCTTTACGGAAAAGTTAAATTGCAATGTTAACTGTGGATGGAATATCAAAATCAGTTTTGTTCATCATTTGCCTCTACTTTTCTTTTCTCTCAACAATTTGGTAAAACATATAAACTTGCTTTACCAAATTGTTGGTTCAATAACTGAATATCAATATGATGGGACAAAATTCAATAGACGAAATATCTTTCACATCATTGTGAATGTTAATGAAAATTAAAGTTCACCAAAATATCTGCACTGGTAATTAAAACCATCAAAAGTCACCAAGGATAGTAAAAACTGATGGTTAACTATTTGACATGAAGAATTCATGAAAATTTATGACAATTTTGAAAACCTTTCTATTAGCTTTTGCTCTTTCTAAACTCAACTAATCACTTTATAAAGTTATGCATATGAATGATATAATTTGGCTGTACGACCAAACTTTTTGCAGTTTGATTGATTAAAAGTAAATTTAGGTTAGATTGAAATGCCATTTGGTTTGGTTTTGTCCTTTTTCCCTGTCTTGTGTAACACTACAACTTGTATAAAATATTTAGTCGGTCAAAGATAATGTAAAGGTAAAAATGAATGTACTTTGGTTGTGATGAATCTTTATCCCAGGGTGAAATTGATGTAGATGTTGTCGATGATTTGTAACCATTACCAGGATCACTATTAGTCTCATGTGTGGATAATTTACTGGCAGTTAATCGGTAAGTCATTAGGCCATCATCATCATCACCCAAACGGTTACCAACTGAATGTAAGTTATTCTCATCAACATTGTTGTCCAAGGAGTCTGTTTTCAGTGTAGCTGTTTTCAAGGGAAAGAAAAAAGAGCAAAGAAATAAATTGATTACAATTTTGGCAATTTTCTCGTTTCATTGGCCAACTTTTATTCATTTAACTTAAAAAAGTGAAAACAATTTCAATTTGCTAATTCAATTTTGCCAATCAATTCATCTTCATCATCGAATCAACAAAAAGAAAGTTGAAAATGTTTGTCTTTTTAAGTCTTTATTTTTTCTTTTCAGTCAATCTTACCTCTTGAACATGCTGGTAAAGCACAAGACCTTTTGGTTTTTGGCTTAGTTGAATTATTACATTGGTCACTGATCTCACCAGTGACCTCACGGCAGGTCACTTTACGATATTGATGGCCATTACCACAAGTAACTGAACACTGGATGAGAGAAAGAATTCAAAAAACACTTTAGTTAAGGTGATATTAAAAATTAGAGAAAGAGAAACAAAAATGGTTAAAGAACAATGATTTGGCAAAAAAACAAACAATGGAAAATCGCGCGCATAGTTTTCTTTGCGTAAGAATAAGCAACAACGTTAGTTATCCAGATTAGGCTATTTGTCCAGCTCTTGACTTGTTAAACGTTTGCTTAATTATTGAAATGATGTTTTTTATTTTCTCATTGTACTTTAGTTAAGTATTTATTTTAATCTATTTGTTTAATCAACATACTTTACTCCAAGGCTCAACAAACCATTCAGGACACGGATTAATGTTACAAAGACGCTCTTTTGGGGGTTCAGGCGATGGACAGAGATAATCAGGCGTTTGAACTAGAGAATGGTTTGTCTTTTTTTGTATACAGAAGATAGATCGATATTGATATCCTGTACCGCAAGTAACGCTACATTGACTCCAATTTTCGATTATCCAGCTTAATTAATGCCATATTATTTATTTAATAGCGTTTTCCAATCCATTGCCACCAAGGAGAGTTGAAGAGGAAAGATTAAGATGCCAAATCAAGGAAGGAAAAGAAAGCATGGAAATCAGAAGGTAAATTAAAACGCAAAAGAAGAAGATTGGAAAAGACCAAAAGAAAAGGAGGAAAAAAGTGTCGATCAGTGATGCAAAACATGATCATCATATTTCAGTTAACTCCTTGGATGAAACATGAAAAGAAGAGAAAGAAGAGGCCAAAGAAAGACTATGCTGTTGATAGGTTTCCCTCTGGATATTTAATACACCGACTTTGTACAGAATTAACCCTCAAAAAAGAGCAACATAATATTTTGACAAGGTTCTTAAGATTTAATTTCAACATGAGACTTCAAATTTTCATGAATCATTTTTTCTTCGCTAATCTTGAGCATTTTAAGGTCAATTTATGTCAGTTTTCACTTTGAAATGCTATTATCTGTCGTTTTATCTACCATTTGACATTTCTACTCACTCTGCACTTTTGCCTTTCCTTTGCTTTCACTGTTACTGTACAATTTATATCGTACAATTTTTATGGTTGCTTGCTCATGTTAAACTAATATTTTATTTCGTTTTTTCTTCGTTTTTTTCATCATCATCATCATCTTGTAATCTTATTTACCTGGGCGGACATTTGACATCATCACATTGATTAAGATCTGGTTTAGGATAATCAACTTGATGATCATCACACAATCCAATATCAACTGGAAGACTTTGACCAACTTGAACACAAATGGATTGGGAAATATGAGAACTTAAAGGACCAACCAGGTTTAAGAATCGATTATCCAGGTTGCGCTGATTTAGCTAAATAAAGAAAAAGAACAAATAGAAAGAGGATTGTTTATTATCATCATCATCTAAAGCAACAACAAGTACACATCAATAATAATAATAATCATGGTTAAGGTAATATGGTAATAGTCTTTGTTACATGGTTTTATTTGCAGCAAAAAAACATCGATAATCAGTGTTCAACTAGAAAAAAAGCCAAGATTAAGTTACCAGGGGTTAATAGGAGGTGGTGCTGGTGCTGGTGGCTTCGCTTATCCTTTTTCTTCTCTCAACCTTCATGGGTTTCATCATTTTTCTCTTCATTTTTAACTACGGCTTACACTGGTGAATATATTTCTCATGCATAACCTAATCTTGCTTATTGACATGGTTCGGTAACAACGGTTTTCTTGCGTTAACCGCAAATATTTGGTGTAACTTGGTTTTATTTTTCATCTCAGTATCTAATGGCAGTTTCTATCTCTATCCACAAATCTAATCACAACCATCATCATCATTATAAACATGATCGTAATCATGAACATAATCATCAATTTCATTCACTAATTCCTGATCAATATAATCGCCTTTTCCCTTCTCCATGTGACCATGAGAATTTGTTTAAACATTAATTTTTTTCTTATCTTTCTTTTGTTTTTTTTCTTGTTTTCCTTGATTTTTTCAGGTTTTATTTAGAAAGTTATAAACTTGCTAAGATTGATATTCGGTTGGTGTAATCGTTTCAACTCGCACTTACAGTACAGTATTTAACTTGAAAAGATATGCACAAGCACATCGCCACAACATTCTTTCAACTATTTAACTTGTTTCACTCTTTTTTTACTTTCTTGTTATTAGATAAATTGTGCTCAAGATTATTGATTTTACCCTTTCCTGTCGATGTAGAGTTGTTATAAACGGACAAATTAAAGTTACCTTCTTTGAAGTTAACATGTTTACTTTGGATAAATACGAAATTCATTACGATGGTTGAACTTTGTACTTAAAAGGGCTTCTTTCCTGTTGATTAATTCCTAGCATAGATATTTTATAAACAATATGGATTCCATCTTAATTAACTTTAAATAATTAAGGTTTATATGGTAGTTAACAGAATAACTAACGAAGGTTGGCTTGCAGGAAGCAAAAATCTCTGTGGTTTTATTATACGCATTGGTAACTTTTACCTCTCATTGGATTTCAATGGATTTTTGTTGCAAAAACATTATCACCATCACTATCAACATCACCATCGCCATCACCATCATCATCATCATCTACAACAACAAAAACAACAGCTACAAAAGAAAAAAGAATAGAAGAGGAAAAAAAGGAAAAGAGGAAAAGTCATGTCAACAAGGATAAACTCATCTTCATCTTCATCCATCTTGCTCGTCTCATCTCTCTTAAGTAAGGAGATTTTTACCGGGAAAGTGTAAAAAGACTGACAAGGTAGGAAAATGAAATTTGTGAAAGAAAAATTACAGAAAACAGAGTGAAGATGAAGATAAGGATGTAAAAGGAGAGGAAAAAGCAAGAAACAAATTGTTGAGACTTGTGAGAACAATTAGATTAACGGTTAACCCTCAACAACAATTTAAAATATAAAAAGCATAAAATACTTTGCTCAAAAAAAAGGCTGAAACATGAAAAGAAGAAGAAGAGAGAAAATTAGAGTATGATGATGATGATGAAAGTGATGTTGATGGTGGTGATGATCAATGTATGCCATTTTAACGGTTTATAATTAACTTTTGCCAATGTTATTTCTTGACAGGTTTTTGGATGTTTTTATCAGTATCTAACACCATTAAACTCACAGTTAAGAGCAATCATGTCGATGATTGGTGAACAAGGATGAAACAAGGTGCAATACACTTAACTCCTGACAACAAACAACCGATTGGATTCTCATTGATTAAACATATTGATCAAATGTACAATCAATGAATAAATTTACCTGGATTTCTGGTTATTTTATACAACTATCACTAGACTTGGATTTAGTAACTGATGTCCGTTTACCAATTGATGAGTGAATCAATGGATATTTATATATTACATGGTTAACACTAATGAGGATGAACAACAATTAAGTTATGGCATCAAATTGGATTGAATCTTGTAACCGTAACATCAATTAATATCAACTTTAAACTTTTAACTCTATCAATCTTTGGATGCACTCTTGATGTGATTTAAAAGAGTAATAAGTTAACCCAAGTTAACCATTGAAAGATGAAGATAATTTGTTGAAATGTTTCAACAAATATGTGATTACTTAAAGATAAAGAGGAAAGATGCGTTTCAACTCGCTTCTATTTTTACCAGCGATGTAATATTATGATGGAATTGACAAGGAAAGGAGGAAAAGTTGAAAAACTGAAGATGAACTTGAAGGAAATATTTATGTTACTCTTATAAAAAAGATAGCCATTTTAAAGACTAATGGATAATGTTTTAACCTGTCATTGGGCCAGTTATTGCCTCGTTTATCTTACCATTTCATCTTTAAGATGTTACTATTATTATCATCATTATTATTATTGATATAAGTAGTAGTAATATCATCATCATTATTAGTAGTTACCCAAACCATTTCAATAATATTACAGAATGCATTTTAACACGTACAGAAAATCAACAGCAACTTAACCGTTTTTTATCATGTTGAGTATTTTTTTTATGGTAACAATATTATTACATTTTACCATTATAAAAATGTATATAAAGATAAATTTAAAAACACTTTTCATAGCAATAATATTGACAAATAACGATAGTCTTAACTAGAAGAGTTTACTCAATATCTTGACCAATAATCAGAGTTTAATTAGCCATTAAAATGATTACATTTTAGGATTGGTGTATGATTATTGTTGATGATTACATTGCACCTCAAGTTTTTAATGTGTTGAGAATCTTCAAAATCATCTGTTCGCCAATTTTTGTGGTTAATGTTTCAAATCAACAATTTTATGCTCAAATATCTATTTTTAATTAAGTCTCTCTAACAATAATCAATAATACATTTGATCAACTTCACAATCAATTTGATATTCAGTATAACATTGTAAAGTGTATTTTATGGCAGTATTTCAATAGGCTTTTCCAGATCCTCCTAAAAACTAGACACCAATGTTTGATTACCAATGTAATAGACCAATATTTAAAGGTTAGTTTAATTGGATTGACTGTTTAAAATGAAAAATGTAATTAACTTTTTTTTCGTTGAAAACTAACCTTCTTTTCCTCATTTTAACTGCTATTAGTGAACAATAAACAATTGTGCTCAAATAACTAATCAAGGTTGCCATCTAAATATTTCCAATCAAACCCAAACACCTCTATTATCAACGTTTAATATCATAATTAAAAGTTAATTGTAATACACTTTTATTAGCTCTTTTCACCTTTCATATTTTAGCTAATCAATCATGAGGATTAATGTTTCATCTGATGAACTACATAATCCTTAACAGCAATGAAAAGGTTGATTATCATTTTTAACTAACTGTGTTCAATAATGATCAACTCAATTCCATTGATTGTAGTTTAATCTTATGATTAAAAATAAACTAACCTTGAACTGCACCTAAAAACCTATGAACAAGTTTCATTGAAAGATTCACAATTGACAAACTGTTTCTCAATTTAAAAGAGCAACACTTTTAATTTGATTTTACACAAAATTAATGCTAATTAATTTGTTAACTTGACCATAATAAACCACAGAAGCAATTTACGTAATTGTTAATAACTTAACATTAATAATTGAAACCCAAAGTATAATTTTTGGGTGACAAAACTGTTTAAAGGTAAACAGGGAAAAATAATTTTCATTCAAACCCGAGTTATCAAGTAAAATTGAACATCATCAAGTAGTTTGTTTCCTGATCATTCAATTATTTATCCTGTTAACCTTGTTAAACAATGAACATGATATTTTACAGGAACATAGACAGTAAACTGAACAGAAGATGAACAAGTAAGATGTTGATGATTTTTCATTCTCTTATACTTATTTCCACTTCTTTTTCCACAATTTTTAACCTTTTTTTTCCTATCAAAATCATCTTCTTTTCCTTTTGCTTAAGCTTTCAACTCTCAACATTTTTTTTCATTTCATACCAAGTTATCATCATGATATTATCTAGGGAACAGAGTTGAACTCAATTGAAGACTACAAAGAGAAGGAAGATGACGATGAGAAAGATGATGAAAATGAAGATGAAACTAAAGATGATACTGAAGATGATGCTGAAGATGTGAAGAAGAAGGAAAAAAAGGATGAAAAAAATCAAGTCTTTTTTGTGTTGTATTCAACTGGATTTTTTATTTTGTGATGAAGTTGGTGAAGAGCATTAATTGTATGAGCTTTGAACACAACAATGTTGTCCAATGTGTGTTTTAATGTGTTTAAATTTGTTATAAATCTTGTTACAAAAAAAAGCAGTTTTGTAGCTTAACTTCATCTTCCTCCTTCTCATCATCATTATCATCAGTGAAAGGGATTTTTGCTACTCTTTTTTTGCTTCATTTTCAACATTTTTGTGGGTAACATCTTTTTGCAAATAGCAATAATAATAATAAAAATAATGATTATAACAATAATAATAATAATAATAATGTGAACAAAACGTAGAAAAGGCTTAATAAAATCTTTTTTTGACAGTTGAAACTCATCACTCTTTTACTCTTCCCATTCACTCTAATATCTTCAATTTTCATCTCCATCTTCCTCATCATTTTCATCTTCTTCATCAACATTTTTCACTCTGTTCACCTTTTAAAGTCTAAGATTGAACAAGAAAAAAAGACCAAATTTCGTCTCTTTTCATCACCTTTGTACGATAATTTGCAACATTTATCAAACTAAACAATAATCACTTTTCACTGTTAAACTGCTATAGCAATGGATGTTAATTCACATTTTCATTCAACTTTCCTTTTCACATTGAACAATGTTTGTTACTGCATTTGGACAATATCAGTTTCCAATAATGTTCAAGTGAATGGAAGGTGAATTTCATGAAACTGTGAAAAGTCTCAAGTCAACGCCTCGACTATTTTAATATCAAGTTATCATCATGAGTTAATGATAGATTCAAGATTATCTTGTAATGGTGAACAAAAAAGTGATTCCCATATTTTTCGTTTCTCATATCTATTAATACTTTCAATGGCAGTTCACAATCAAATGCTTCTCATGTTATTCAGGATGGCTTTACATGAATGTTAATTTGCCTTTTCCTATTACAAACTATTATCATTATTTTTCGAGTTTCATTTTCTTATCATTTTCTCACCATCTTCTTCCTCCCTCTTTTTATCATCATCATGAGTGATTAACGATTTGGGTAAGAAAATGGTGAAAATGAGCAATTAACGACCATATTACACCGAATCCCATTGAGTCTAATTTTTTTGCTCTTCCAGTTGAAAGCTAAAAGTTTTTTGCTTACTTCTTGTTCATGTTCACTTTCAATGATGAAATTGCATGATGATGATGAGAAATGATGATTTCTTGCAACAAACAAATATACTTTTAATATGTTTTACAAGCGAGTAAACCCACAATAACATAAATATTACCCGACAGGTTAACTTTGATCAAGTTTTCCCTTTCCAATGAAAATCTAAATATTATTGAATTAATAATTTGTGTCTTTTCATTTTTCAATAAAAAACTTTTCCCTCAACGTACATAAATCATCATGAAAGCCCGTATTTTATGATTAAAATTATTTGCTTTTTTCCATCTTCTCTCATCCTAATCAATCAAATAAATGTTGATCGTTTGTTAAGAAACATTTTTCCATTTACACTAGTCAATGTTCAATTTAAGCTTATTGATTAAAGCTGATCAATTGATGATTCTAATGATCATCTTTTAACTGTTTCATATTTCATCTTTACACTGCAAAATGATCATTGATAAGGTTTCGCCAAGTTTACCTAATTTTCATTTTACAAGACTCAACTATTCATGCATTTATTCATAACTAACATTGTTCATCTTCAATGGTTAGATATTCATATTTGCTTGCAACAATGTTTGACTTTCAATTAACTTGACTTGGGAATTAACCAGATAACAAACGGTTAACCTAAAGGTAAAATCTGGGTTAATAGCCTTTAAGCGGTTCCTATTATTGATTATTATCAGATTATAATCATCGACCTTTCACTTTATATGACCAATGGCTGGTTAATAAAAGTGTTGACCTGTCAGTAAACAATCTGGTCAATTCAAACAACTGAATCTGCCCATCTTGAGAATCAATGTAAAAATTGAACCTTATTCAGTGAATTCATCACCTATTCAACTATATAATCTCTGGTAGTATAGTGGTTAGTATCATTAACCTCTTAGCATTTGGTGACCACGACAGGATCAACTGCAGCTCTGAGTCAAGTTTTTTTGTCACCAACTAATATTTATTGTTGATTGATTCAACCAAAGAGTTGAAGTTTAAGTCCATCACTTGTCGTAATAATAAAATGAATTTGTAATTTATCTGTTAAAAATGTAAATTATTTAGAGACAAAATTCAGAAATGTAACCCAAAATGAGCGTCTAGTTTGAACAATTGATTATTGATGAGGATTGGAAAGTTTGAAAATCAATTTAAAAGATCATTTAAAGTGACATTTGAATAGCAAGTTGCAAAGTGTCACAGCAAAGGTTTGATCCTTAAAGAGGCAAATGATTAAATTATTAAATCATTTCTCATTTGAATATTGATTATTCACTATTTATTTATAAAAGTTATCATAATGATTACGAGCTTTTGATAACCTTAAACCTTTTCCAACTTGAATCAAACCTTGAAAGTGAAAAAGGGAGAAAAAATGAGCTGAAATTTATAAATAATTGAGTCTTGTTAGATAATAAAATTGCGTTAATTTTTACCTGTAAATGATTAATGTATAATGATAATTAGAATGAGATGAAAAAAGAAAAAAATGTTCATCAATTTTTTCTCCTTTTCTCAATGAAATGCAACAACAGACAAGGGAATCGTCAAATCTAACCTCACCTAATGTTTTCAAATGATAAGTTAAATAAGATTAATAATGATATTAAAATTTAATCTAACAGGGAAAAGAAATGATTGCAATCAAAAATGGAAGAAAAAAGTTGGCAAAGTTGTGAATTCAATTGAGTTTACTGGTTGAATTATCATTAAAAGTCAAGAACTTTTCCTCTTCCTTTTTGATGTAAAGCAAAAAGCGAAAGGCTTTTCCATCAGATATGATATATTCAATGATGTTTATCATGAAAATAACATGCCAATAAGTCTTGACAGTTTTCAAAGTGAACCTTGTATAAATAAGTTTCACCTTTAACCATGAAGAAAAGGTTGATTTATTAAAGTTGATATGGAAAAAGATGTTTTCATATAAATGAATAAAAATATTCATATATTTAAATGGAGACTCGTGTTTTAAACAAAAACATTGTCAAACCACTGGGATGGGAAAAGGTGAAAAAAATATTAATAAAAAAATTTACCATTTACATAAAACTATATATTCAGTAATCATGATATTTATTGTTGAACCTTTTTGTACTCACATTTACTACAAGATGATAAACTGTTGGCTCAAAAACTGATGTTGGTGAGGTTAACTGTTGTGATTGATTGGAATGAATATTTGATTTTAAAGATGATGAGATCTTGTATGAAGGAATGTACAGATGAAATGGATTATCGTTGAAAGAATTGATTAAAGAAGAATCTTGTTTTCTAATGATTTTCAGGAAATCGTCGCCATCTTCATTGCCTCCTCCTTTATCCTTGATGCTTGAAGATGCTTTGCTTGTTACAATCAATTGTGACAAAATAAATAGTAACGATAAAAAAGTTGTCTGAAAATGAGAGAAAAGACAAGAAAAAAATTGATTAAAATTTTGGCCCAATTTCAAGACTTTTTGTTTCATTTGTATACACTTTCAAGGGTTGCAAGGGTTGAACAGATTTTGGACATTTTTTTGGACACTCAATTATTTGGTGGATTGTCTAGGAAAAGACAGCATTTGTTTGTCATAACTTGAAGCAATTGAATGGTCAAGGTTGAAACGGATATTATGAAGGATATAAAAAGTAATGGATGTCTAAGAGATGAACAAGAAATGGTTATGATTATGATACTAATTTGATCCATGATGAGAATTGTATTTTATCAACTGGAAACTGAACAGATAAATAATATAAATGAACATTTTGATTAAGATGAAACTAATGTAACCATAAATTTTACCATTGAGACAATGGAATGTCATTTCAATAGTTTTTCCCTTTCATCTGATTTTTTTGTTTGTTTCAACGATCGATTGAAAAGTTTAGATGTTTAATGGTTATTGTTAACATGATCATCATACTCATCATGATACTCATCATAATCGGTTAAATCCTTTTGACTATCGTTTCATACTGGCATGTTAAATGATGATAAACGGACGAGAGGCCATTGTTAGCATCATTTGTTTGATTTGAACAACAGTGAAAGATTCATGGCAATTGATAGATTCAACGGTGTTAAGTAAAACTGGAAACAATATCTTGGATAATGTTTTCTCATGCAATTGAAATGGATTTAGTTTTTATTAAGAATAACCATTTTCATCTTTAGGATATAAGATGATGATGATGATGATGGTGATGGTGAACAAAATAACATCACAAAATGGGAAAACAAACACTTTCTTGTTGCTCAGTTGTACACACACTTTACAAGTGATGAGGATGTCATTTTGTCCCTAACATTATCATCATTATTATGATTATCCCTTTACTCCTCTGATACTTACTTTTATCATTATCCTGTTATCCTGTCTCTTCATCTTCTCAAATCCTCATCCTTATTCCCTGTTAATCTGACAATTCAATTGTCAACATTAAAATTTATTATAACAACTTGGTAAAAAAAAGTAAAGTAAAAAGGCAAACAAAAGTTCAGTTCAATATTTACCAGTATTCAATCTTATTTTTTTTCCTGTTAAATTGTTTTTCTTCCTTCACCTTTTCCATGAAATATTGATAAAACAAAACATTGATTTAATAGTTTAAAGTCAAAATGATTTACTTTAACCAATTAATACACACACATTGACAATAGTTAACAGAAAACTGAAAAATGGAATCAAAAATTTATCACTTTTAATCAGTTAAATATTTATCCAGAAATCGTTATTGTTGACAAGTTGTTGACCTTAAAAGCATGATAACTCTCATGAATTCATCATAACAATTGATTATCGATTGACTGTCAAGTGAACAAAATGTTTTTCAAATCTTTGGTTAACAGTTGCAATTGAAAATCAAATTAACAATTAACTTGTCAACCTTTTGGCATTTAAGTTTGCCAAAAATTAGCTCATTATAATGATTTTATGGATATCAATGTTTATTGCTTTATTCATTGTTGGTTGATTAACTGATTGTTTGACTGATCAATTGACTGATCTTTGTTGATAAATATTTTGATTGAATAATTTTTTCTTGACATTAACATTAATCTTAATTAATTGGGAGGCAATGATGAAAAGGGCAAAGTTTCTCATGGAAACTCATGTTTCCAGTTTATCACAATTATTACAATTGGAAATTAACTGAACTGTAAATAAAACCTTAAGACAATTGGATAATAACAATTGAAGGACAATGAAGACCAAGGAAAATGATGAGGATGAGTAGGATGATGATAAAGTATGAGGTTAAAGACATTATTATTTTATCCGTCATCATTCACATTCTTGAGTCTAAATATCTTTTTGCCTTTTCTTTCCTTTCCAATGGATGAACAGGGATAAAAGTGGGAAAAGTGAAGGGATGAACAAGATGAAAGTGATCATCATTGAGTTGATGATAATGAAAAAGATGACAAAGATTATGATGATAATGAAAATTTCATAGATGATGACGGATAAATTAGAGATTCAATGTTGTTTCAAATGAAAATGGGAATGAAACGCAACAAAAAAAGAGATTCAAAGGTTGAATGTTTCAATGAATGAAACGAGAAACAATAAATAGATTTGTAAGAAGATAATGATGATAATATGAAGATGATTGCCATGTGAAAACAAAATATCAAGAAGATGGAGAGAAGAGAAAAGTGAATCGAAATTTTTCGAGTTTCTTTTTTTCTTCTCTGGTGGTGTGAGGTGGAAGATGAGAAATGGATTGAAAGTGGATGATGATAGAGATGATAGAGATGAGGAAGAATCAATTAAGGATGAAAAATGGACACAAAATGTTGACAATAACCGTCAATGGATAGAGTCAATTGAGTCTTGGAAGAAAGATGAAGCTAAAGATGAACAATTGTTGTCATCCTTTTTATCGTCAATTGATTGTTCCTTGTCTTGAGATTCCCTGAATATTGTTCATATGAATTCATGAATTGATAAGTGATCAAGATTGGTTTCATTTTTTCTTCTTCTTCTTCTTCTTTACTCGATTCTCCAGAGATTTTCATTCCTTTCTCAATTCAACTGAAATTGTTTCAAAAGTATTAATAATGATGGTTATCAATGTTTCCACTCAAGTCTTTCATTTGGAAATGAGCATTCAACATTTTTTTATTCATTTTTCATTGATGGTCAATCCATGAATCAGATATCATGATTAATCTTTTTCAATTCAACCTAAACGTGAGTCTGAGTAAATGTTGAATTTTCATGGTTAAATTGGAATCATATTTGATTACAATTGAGAAACAATTTATAAGAAAATGAAACCAAGTTTCACCTCAAGTTGAACAATTTTTCAATTTTTCATAAAAATGCCGCCTAATGAGTATAAAGTTTTGTTGAATTTTCATGAAAAAAGTATTTTATGGAAAAAGAAAATTCTGTAAAAAAGTTATTCAATTTTCAATGTCATGAAGAGCATTAAGTAAATACAATCGTTGCTCACGATAATTATGATTATGAATATTTTACTTTGCCAAAAACAAAAAGTTTACCCTGAATCATGAGTAAAGTTGATTGAACGATTTGATTATGTTTCAAGTTATTGAAGGTTCAAGACTCATTGATAGCCGGACATTGGCTGATCAAATGGTGATCAACTGAATGAATGAGGATGAGATTTTAATGATAAATCATTTCTGAAGTTAACTCTTGATTATATCTTAATATTGATCTTAAAGTGTTTTATGTTTTTGAGAGACAAAAATTGGAAACTTTGAAATTCTTGAAACAAAACAAGTTGAAGCAAAGTTGCACTTTGGAAAATATTTTTACATTTGAAAATTTTATCATGAAATTAATTTTCACCAAAAAATTGACTTGAGCAAATTTTCAACTTGATAAATGATGAACCTTTTGATATCAAGTTTGAACACAACATTATGATCGTAACCTGAGTTAACTTGATTTGTGAGTTTAAACTTGACTTACAACAAATCAAGGTTAATTGTGATCAATTTTTAATTTTCTGGTGAAAATTGTTAAATGCATTAAATGATTACAAATGAGGCAAAAATTGCATTCAATTTACACAGGAAAAGTACATTTATATCATTTGTAATATCATAACCATATTATCGGTTAAACCAGTAAAAGTTTAACCTGGTAATTTGAACCTCATTGGCATCTTATTATACATAATATTTTCTCATCATTAATCAAATAATCTGACGGAAAGCAAATAATATAATCATGTTAAGATTTGAGCTTTTAGTTTGCCTCTTAAAGCAAAGTCAATATATCGATTTGTTCATTTGAGCAAATGAATGAAATGACATGAAGAAGAAGAAGAAAAAGGGAGAAAAAAATTACCTAAATTACTAATCCTATTTATTAATTGCCAATGTACAATTGAAAGTGATGAGGTGAACAAACATTTAATTATAATGAGTGGCAAGATGAACTTCAGGTAATAACATGATTAGAAGAGAGGATAAATAATGGAAACAATTGATTAGAATAATCATCCTCAGGTTGATATATAAATTTATAAATAGCGTTAATCAGAAGTAAAAAGTTAAAACATGAACAATTAATGATTATTGGATAATTAGGTGGAGTAAAGGTGATTTGGTAAACATATGAGTTTGTATCATTTCATTTGCACCAATCAATCGTGATTCAAAATTGACAGGAAAATCATCAAAAAATCAATATTGAAATTAGATGTTAAAGGCTTACAAAAAAACATATTATTTGATTATGTTGGTTGTGTTCAGTAGCACCAGATTTGTCTCAACAAGAGGAAGCTAATGATTGTAGAAATATTGAGGAATATCAGAGGATCTTGAGTCAGTGCTTGTACATGACGAAAAGTATGACAAAAGGTCAAAGGGTTTTTCATAGTTTACTCTGAAATGACTTATCAGGTTTTATTGGAAAGATCATGAAATTGGGATTCTATTTGCTATGTCAAGACTCGTTACTTTGGTTTTAAGAAATGCTTTGAATCTAATTTTCCTTTATCAAGTCGGAGATCATTTTGAATGATGATTTCATGGAAACAGTTGACTCACTGATGGAGTGACTCAAAGTTTACCCTGAATTTTCCTTCTTATGTGAAATATCTTGTTGCTCATTAAGACGGTCACTTTGATAACTTGTATCTGATTAAACCTTTCATCTCTCAATCCATCCATTTGTTAAACTGTGATAACAATTTCCTTGTTGATTAATCATTGCTCAGTTATTTTGCATTATTATTGTGACAGTAAATTGTTTCAAGTTAAAACAACAGTTTACAATGACAAATTATCCTTCAATGTAACATCTTATTTGACTTGATTAACGATTTACTCAGCCTGGCTGGATATTGTAAAAAAAAGGTTGACAAAAACGAGAAAGGCAAAGGAGTGCAAAACTATCACTTTAATATGATTACAATAAAGGCAAAC